CTTGACAGCAGATCATGCCAATAGAATCCCGCTATCCGAGTTTTTACCCGCAGTATTAGCTTGGCTCTGGTGTGGCAGTTACAAGATTCTAAGCCTTTGCGCTCGAAACGAGATTTCCTTCAAAGATGATTCCGCCAATGACAATAGAGAATGGGCCGAAGCTGGACAGCTAATAGAAGCTAGTGGAGAACGGCAGCACTCGGGATTCAATATGCGACGATGGCAATTCTGGAAAGATCGACTCGAAGAAATTAGTCAAAATACTGAAAGTGAAAGTGGCGCTGAGCAAGGGAGGAAAAGCGTCCATATCTTCGAGTCTTGGGAGCAGATCACAGGAGGCAGACATCATGATCGTGAGATAGCTCGTGATGCTTTTTTCGGCAAAAGTGTCGGCTCAGTGTAAGCAATGAGTTCAGATATCTGTGACAGAGGCTGGCTGATGAGCTTCTCAAAATCTATCTCTTCGTTTTCAACATGAATCAGCTACATGATTATTATTCTACTATCAATGCAAAGCCTTCTACATGCTAGAAACTTGTCTCACTACGTCTGTGACGGGGACCAAAAGCTAGTGCGAATCAGCGTAGGATTCTGGATGATTTGGAATGTAAATCCAACATTCGTCGGCTGGTCTAGAACTACATTTTGCACGACGAACCTGACTTTCTCATTGATATAACATCCTGAGGATACTCCAGTGTGAGGATTGTGTCGCAAGATATGGTCACGTATAGCAGTAGAAGTAGCTCCTATACAACCATCAGCCTTACATAACAAATTTGGGCACATTTACACTTACCATCTACAGCATTTCCGGTACCTCGATGAAAATAGTAACGTGTTAGCTTTTGTTCACACCCAAAGACCTAGCTAAGCCGATCGAGATGAAAATTATATGTTGAGTATCGGAGTGTTTCGCAGCTTATAAGGGCCTGGAAAACTTATGATTGTAGGATTAAAGAATCAATGTACTGTAAGTTTTTTATAGGCCAACTTCTGGTTCAGCATACTTCGCATAAATGGTCCCTCAACTAAACTGGCACTCTAGAGGTTTCCTAGTGAAAAGCCTCTTCATACCGAGATTGTGGATATCCTGCGCTCTTTGAGAGAGGGGTGTCTTGTCTGATGCAGATGGATCAGAGCTGAATTAGTAGTTTGGCCCGGTGAATGTGAGGAGATGGATGAAGATTTGTGTCGATTCAAAAATTTGCAATCGTCACTGTACTTGTCAAATGCTAGAGGAGTCGATATCAGAACAGAAGTCGAATAGGCTACACGAATACCTTGGTGATATAACAATATCGGAACAATATGAGAACAATCTTGTGATAGTATCAAAACAGTCCCAGATATTGGGTATATATAATGACTCCTCGATACTTCATGTTTTTTCTTCTCTTCTCCAGTACTTGAACTTTCTCTGAGATCTACTAAACAACTCTAAGAACTTCACAAGACAAACCCCAAAGACACAAATAACTCATTTTCATCATGAATCAAGAGCACGATCACGATCACAATAATCACCATCATCAACACGCTCGATGTCTCTTGAAATTCTACCTCCAAGCATTCATCATCAGCATCAACATCGGCTCCGTCCTCGGGATTTTGTCTTTCTTCTATCACTTTCTCCTTAGTCCTTTCGACCCGCACGCCCTCATCGCATCGGTGATCGGCGGTTTCGTCGATGGCTTCGTGGTTGGTTTTGGCTTTTTGCTCATTCTTATTGTCATTTGGAGTCTTTATGATAAACTTATAGACGTTTTCTTTGACCTCGTTTTCCATGCGCAACTCTGGAGAGGCGTGTTGGATAGGCTAGCGGGAATCTTGGAGAGACAGGTTAGGGCGTTGAGATTTCAGAGGTTGTAGGGGTTTTTTTCTTACTTCTTTGATTCGATCTTGGGGCGTTGGTAGTCGTACTGGAATAATTTAAAAAATTAAAAAATTGAAAAATTGAAAACTAGATTGAGCTTGCATTGTGGTGATATTGTGAATGGAATATGAATTATGGACATATAAGTGTGAATTGTAGAGGTTGATCAAGCGAGTAATTTGACTTGAGTTTTTGATACATAGACTTGGAACAACGGTAATCTTTACGAACATTTTGATCATGGTAATATCTTTTGTCTTTCTTCGTCTTTGTAAGCGACGCAGCTCTCCGTCTTTCAAGCTTATAGCTTTAGTCAAAACGACCCGTAGGATCTTCTTGTAGAGCCATTCGTATTGTGTTCTAAAGTTCAAAGTTGGAAGTCAGCACGGGGATAGGAAATAGATATCTATTTGTTTTCTAGGGTGTGTGACGGCAAGATTACGTTAGTGTTATATCAAATGGCCTTGATATAAATCAGGCTTGAATCGATGCTCATTGTTAACCAATTTGGAGAATGAATGCCGTGGTGATCAAGAATTAATCAATACAATGCATACAATGCGTACAATGCGTACAAAACCTCAATGAAAGTAAGATACAAAGAAACACTAAGCGAGCCCTAGTAACTCAACTCTCTTATCCGTCAATCAGAACGCTTCGAAACAACCCCTGAACAGATATAATATAATTCAATTCTTACACACAAGCGAATATCTTCCCGTTCTTCCCTCCCCTCTCCACCACTCCTGAAGAAATTATGACGAATTATACTAATTATTGTACCAAAAGACCTTCATCTCAAGGAGATAGAGCTCGGCGAGTAGCCCCTTCTCTATAGATCGCTCATTTTCGACTCCTGGTTTATTGAAGTCTCGATATTAATAGTTTTCATTGTTCTCATCGTATGTCTCTGTAATTGTGGATTGCCGGTCACTACGAGGTTTGATGAGAGGACCAAGAGACAACCGCGGGAGTTGGAGATGAGTGGATTTAGGATGGGATGGGATGGGATGGTGAGGTCTGAATGTTTGAGGGAGAGATGACGTGATTTGAGGAGCATTGTTTTAGATGGAGTAAGGGAGAAGTGATCGATATTCTGTCTCAAATCCTTTTTCCAAATTTGTACGGAAAAGTGGATAATAAAAAGATTGAACGCATTTCATGGTTATATCGCTTCAGCGGTGATAGTGATGAAGATGGTGATCTAAATCTATGATTACTAGTAGAATTATTGCTTCAGATATACATCTAGCGAGAAATCATGCTCTTATCCGCTAATTACACAATATAATGAGTGGTTATGTGCACAAAACTAGTGAAAGTGTAATATGTGTTAGTGATAATTACAGCGAGGTCAGGTACATACAATGCAGGTATTGCCCAAGCTACACATTTGACATACTCGAATTTGTTCCTGAAGTACTCCCGAACATATCCAGAACAAATCCGTTATCAGCTCCTAACATGTATAAAAAGCATCCCACCCCCCGTTCCAGATTCATATTCCTTCCTCAAATCACTTCTGCCTGTAACATTCCTAGAATCCTCAAAGAACCAAGTGAAATATTACAAGCAGATCCACTAACACAAAAACCCCAAACTCCACAAATCAAGTCCGAAAACATCATGCCGAGAATACTAACTCAAGCCATCGGCCTATTAGTCGCCCTCATCTATGCATGTTTCATCTCCGTGGTCCTCCTGCCCATATTTCTTGCCTTCAACGGGCTTCCAATCCGCCCGGGTGAGCTTTATGGGGTTCTCCGAGGCATACTTGCTGAGAGAGTTCCCGGGGCAAGAGATACTCCGGATGACGAGTTACCACAAGCTAGACGGGACTGGATGGTTTCGCGTCATGAGATCATGATGGGGAGAGAATTTCAGATTGCTCAGTATCGCGGCTTTCTTCACGAGTTAAACGAGCGCAGTGCGAATCGTGCAGCTAACAATGGGCGAGTCGTTGCACCTCCTGAAGTCGTCGATGATTCTAGTTCTGAAGAGGAGTTTGATATCCATGATTATGACATGAGCCTTCCTTGATCTCGCTTTTTTCTTGAGGGGGTGTTTTTCATTGTGGTGGTGGTATTCCTCAGAGGACAAAAAAAATAAAGCTTTTCTTTTCCTTTTGCAATTTCAAGTAAATCTATACGATCAATGAATGATAATATTTGAGTGACAATAACAAGATAATAACGTGGAAATTAGAAAAATGAAAAGAAAAATTAGTCAATAATCTTAGTTGTTTGAGTGTACTTAAAAAGGACATGCCCCGCTATCATGATCGTCGTATCATGTGCGATCTTGATTTCCATGTGTCTGGTAACGAATTTGAAGAATACAATGGATACAACGTCTTTTTTGTTCTTTTGTGGTCTAGGCAGCCTTGGCAGCTTTTAGAACATAAGAATGGCAAGTTCGTCAAGTTCGATCAATAGGAAATGTCTCAGAATATGTCTTATATCAAAATCGAATCTCTGCTCAGTGCTCAGTCTTGCTGTTACATATGGTCCCTTTGACAGCTATCACGACGACAGTGTTTCACCATATCATGATGACCCCATCCTATATCTTACGAATTAATCTGGGACAGGCATGTAATGAACGAATGCATTGGATGAACCCCCACTTAAGTTTTATTATACAACTCAATTTGTCCATTATATACGTATAATTATACCGCATGCACATGTCGTCACATCATGTATGAATGGCCAAAACAAGCTTCGTTTGGCAGGGCGACGCTTTTTCGATCGAGTGGTGATGGGGCAAAGATATTGGTTCTCATCTCTTAAAAGTAGTTTTATTTCGAATTTCTTCGACAGATACCGGAGATCTATTCTAGCATGTTATTACACAGGAATAGTGCTTGTAGTTAGTTCCTCGAAAAGTACGTGGTTCAGTGAATGGTTGGAGAGAAAAAGTTCGGAGTCGTCAGGTTTTGGATCACAATTCAATAAGGATAGATAGGTGTGGGATAATAAGTAAAGGTAAATTTGTATTAAAGTCTCGATTGATTGTTTTTTCCTCTGACAGAAGCAAATATAGATTTGTCATATTCGACTGAGAGTTCGCGTGAAGAATGCATCATGTCGTCTCAAGTTTCTCCAGTTATGCCGTAGCACAATCACATCCATGTCTCGTACTTCTCAGATTCATCATGCACAGGCATTTTTCTTGTCTTTCCATTCCTGGAATGATTCTCAACCTTATTCCAATTTCTCGGATGCATCTCGACGTCGTGATGTGACCGGCCAGCGGTACGCGAGCGTTTCTTTGCTGCTTTTCTAGAGTCATTCATGCCGTATCTGTGGCGTTTGTGAGGCCAGAAGAAAGCCCATGCGAGCATGGCGGCAAGAACGATCATGCAAAAGGTAACGATGGCAATATGTTCAGGAAGCATCTTGAGATTGAGGTTGGTATCAGGAGTCTGGTTGGTGATGATAAGAAAGATGGAGACTCATCGAGGCATATGTACTCGGAAAATTGTGATTGTTCTTGATTTCTATCATAGTTATATAACAATCCAGTAACAACTAGATCAATGAATGAATATACAAAGAACTTTAGAATTGATTGGGCAATCTTCTTTGTTCTTGAAACATTGTTTTGTCGTGACTCGACGGAACTACCACAGCCCATAATCTAGCGAACAACAACAATGACCTTCCAATTACTGGTTGGATGATTGTTAGAGATCCTTTTGTCATAAGCAAGGCTTCGAAAAATGTGAGTTTAGCTTCAAAACATCATGCCATGCATTTACAACTCATAATTGGGTGGAGAAGCACTTGCTGTCATAGGGGTAGAGTAGGATTTTAAAAGCCAGGGTTAAGAACGAATGAATGGTAAAGAGAATTATGCACGCTTCTGGAACTAAATGGGAGGATATTGTGAAGTGAAAACTCGACGGGATTTTGAGCTTAAGAGTATTGACTTAAATTCGAATCAAACCAATTTATCCGAACACAATAGGTGCAACACTTGCGACACCATCGGCATTGATGTTGTTCGTTTGTAGAACATTATGAAACACCAATTTTCAGAGTTGTGGTTGCAAATATGCCTTGTGTTAGAGCATCAGGGGTCTCAAGGCTATAGGGAAGCTTGGCGGGTCTTACAGTGCAGGGGATAACTCATAGCCACTAAAATCATCGTGAACAGAGCGGCGTAGTAAAATCATAACAGGCTGCCATGCCCATCTAACTTTTCATGTGGTTACCTTTTCTTTAACCCACTGCTGTGTCTGGATATTCGACAGGGAATTCGGGTGACAGTCGTGAAAGGATCTGAGGATCTGCGAAGCGGGCACGACTTATACCAAGATATTGCGATATTCGACATGTCCAACTATCACCCATCAACTTCGATTTCTCGAGCACGACTTACACAGTCGTTACCACCATTACCCGAAGAAGATGCAGCACCTATCGAACCTTACCATGATGATCCAGCAGATGATGAAGGTGCGGAGGTCATGGAAGGGATGGGAGGAAACCATATCGATATGAACGAACCTCCTGGATATGAGCCAATGCACGATTATTTGGTCAGTAGAGTACGTCGATTAGCTCAAATGAGGCCTCCCGAATATGAAGTATCGTCGCCGGACCATACACACGACATACCACTTCAGCATCAAGAACCTTACCGAGATGACCCCTTCATTATTACGATAGATCCAAACCAACCTCCTCCACCATCTTACGAGGCTTTATATATACAAACACAAAGAGAATTAGAGATATTGAACGAAGAGATAGATCCAGATATAAGCCATGCCGAGGATGTCTGCAAATGGCTGGTTAGCATGATTTTGATTACTTTAACAATTATTGCTGTTGGTTTTGCATTCAATTGGGGTCACCCATTCTAAGACGGCCCAATCGAATGCCGACGATCGTACAGTTCAGAAGTAAGGGAGGACAACAGTGGAATTATACCCGGCTTATGGAAACGGAAATGGGAGCTTGGAGTTTGGTGTTTGAAATCTACAGTTTGAATAAGATTTGGAAATGGGATAACGGTTTGAAAGAAGCGGCTCTCGAAAGATTGTTTCTAATAGATTAGAATACAATTATTTACAATCTCAAACCTTCAGCATGTTTTGCCAATTTCCACCTCCAACACATCGCGAGGACTTTCCAATTTGGGGATGGCACTTTCAACAACCCACCTACGAGCTCCTTACTATCTAGTATCTACCCCGCCGTTGTCCGAGGATGTGTGACAACACATTAATCATTTGAAGCTTCTCTTTCCTTATCATATCCACTGATAATGTCAAGGTAAACTCTTATTGAAAGTATATACGACATACACTAGATTTGTGTACCAATTTCCGTTTAAATAGTTTGCAAAGTTCAAACCTCCCTGGATTTACTCTATTCCTTCGTTATTGTTCAAACTGTTATTCATCGTTAGCATGGCACCTGCAACAATAACAACAGCATCCGGTGCATCCTGGCAAGAGGTTGCCAAAGATAGACAGAGATATCGAGATGAGACTATCGCAGCTATCAAGCCACCTATCCCAGATGTCACGGATATTCCATTGAATACGTTATCAGTTGCGAGAAAAGTACTTACATCCGAGGAGATTAAGATTACAGAAGCTACAGTCGAAATTCTAGTGGCTAAACTTGCAAAAGGAGAGTTAAGTGCAACCGAAGTTGCGAAAGCATTCTTGAGAAGAGCTGGGTTGGCCCAAAAAGTGGTATGTTCATCTTAGCAAACACTTTTACTTTAGACTAATCAAAAGTCAGACTAATTGCATCACTGAATTACTTCCCGAGCGAGCGCTTTCTCGTGCAAAATACCTCGACGAATATTTGAAAACGAATGGAAAGACTATTGGCCCTCTTCACGGTATACCGATAAGCGTAAAAGAACATGTTGGTATCAAAGACCTGGACCATAATGCGGGCTTCGTTGCTTGGGTTGGCAAAACAAGTCCAGTCGATTCCCATATCCTAGAAATTCTGTTGAATGCAGGTGCTATATTATACGCTAGGACTACACAGCCTCAAACTTTGATGCATTTAGAGACAAGTAACAACATATATGGGTAAATTTGACAAGCAACTTACATTGACACTGCTAATTTGTTTCTTAGAGTTACTGTAAACCCATTCAATACCACTTTGACTTGCGGTGGCTCTTCAGGTGGTGAAGGGGCGTTAGTTGGATTTAGGGGTTCGTGTCTTGGTATCGGTACTGATATTGGTGGCTCAATCCGTTCACCGGCAGCAAATAATGGTAAATGAGAGCGAGTAAATTGAAACGAAACATGCTTACCTGTGCGTAGGTGTATATGGCATGAAGCCAACAGCTCGTCGCTTACCAGTAGATGGATGGACTGCAACTATGGCTGGTGCCGAGCACATCGTTCCCACAATCGGACCATTATCAACAAGCTTAGATGGCTGTAAAGTCTTCATGAAAGTACTCATTGATGCAAAACCATGGTACAAAGAACCATCTCTTTTGCCCTTTCCTTGGCGAGAAGAGAATTTCTTTCCGGGCAAAAAAATAAAAGTTGCGATTTTATGGGATGATGGGGTTGTTAAACCACATCCCCCAGTCACAAGAGCCTTAAAACAAGTCGTGGACAAGCTTAAGACGAATGCAAATATAGAAGTGGTTGAGTGGAAGCCATATAAGCATGATCTAGCTTGGGAGATAATTGTAAGAGTAATATTTTCCATAATGCAATCGTCACTAATTTAATTTAGGCCAATTTATATTTCTCCGATGGTGGATCACAAGAACTCGATGCGCTAAAGGAATCTGGGGAGCCCCTTCGACCCCTCACTGAGCACATCATTATCCAAAACAAGCATCTACAATCTCACAGCATCGCATCGATGTGGAATTCTCAAGTTCAACGGGATATGTATCGCACTGAATATGCAAATATTTGGAATGAAACAGCGACTTCGAAAGGTGCAAATGGTGAGCTGGAAGGAATGGTGGACGTTATACTGTCTCCAGTTGGGCCAGGGAGTGCACCAAAACTAGACACCAGTAAATGGTGGGGTTACACTTCGCAGTGGAACCTGTTAGATTATCCTGCTTTGGTCTTTCCAGTCGACAAGGTTGATGTGGAAAAGGATAGTACTGAAGAGACGTACACTCCAAGAAACGACAAGGACAAATACAATTGGGATCTATGGGAACAACATGGGGCTGAAGGTTATAAAGAGGCACCAATCAGCTTACAGCTGATAGGAAGACGGTTGGTTGCTATTCCAATTGTAAAGAATTCTGGCTAATACATTTCAATTTATAGATTTGAAGATGAGAAGGTCATCCAGGCTTTGGAGATCATTCAAGAGCAAACTGGATTACCGTTTGTTGAATACATTTGAACGATCTCAATCGAATAGAGAGAATTCTAAAAATCATTACCCTACATATTACATCAACTTTACAAATTTAAAGTTCATCTGTTCAATTAAGTCAACATGCCAAGTGAACTATATTGTAATGACATCCAAGATGAAGGGGCTCGCTTATCACTGTTGGACTGTCTCCTAAATTCGGGAGTACCACGGCAGTGGTCAATCTTACTGCAACTTGGACCTGTTCATTTCTAAAGAAGCGATCCCGATGCGACTCGTGAAACAATTGCGTATTCTTCATCGTATTCTTCATCGTGTTGCCTCAAAACAGGCCGGCGGCCAATTTGAGGGTCTATGCGACAGGCAGCCGAAAGACTATTGCGGATCCACCAGTGGGTGCACGGACTCACGGGACACTCAAGAGGGAAAACACAATTTCACACCAAAAAGAGCGATTTTAATAATTCAATCAAAATTAAAATTAAAATTGAATTTATTTGAAATTCAGATAAAGAGTTTTTAAGCATGAAGATTTTATATAGAAAAAAATTGGAATCAAAAGAATCAAGATTGAAGTCTTGATAATAGAATATATAATTCCCCATCAAATTTTTTGGTGGGAAAGCGTACTATTTGTATTTTGAGCTCAAATTGCATTTTATTCAAATCACTTTCAAAAGAAAGATTATTTGATGCTTAAAGAATTATATATCTCAATTTTGAAAGAATTCAATGATATATTGAATTTTAATTGAATTATTAAAATAGCTCTTTTTGGTATGAAATTGTGCTTTCCTGTCACGTTGTCCCGTGAGTCCGTGCAACCACTGGTGATCCAGAAGATGAGAATCTTTGACACCTAGAGATACTGATTTACAACACGAACTTGAGATGATGCCCACGAACCTACCCTGTAATTCTTCACAGCTCAACATTCTCTATAATAATTTTGACTGGCGTCAGCCCTTAAATTCAGATTAATTCATCTCATCACACATGATTTACGACGTCCCGTACTAGTCTCTTGTCATGCAATCCAATTCGTCCCATAATACTTAATCACTCTTTCCAATTCCATCGTTCCTCTTCCTAGCCTTCATATCTTACAAACCATGTATGATCCGCATTGGAATTCGGAAGCCTGACGTAGCACTTTAGCAGCTTGGCACTCACAGAATACGAATTGCCTACAACGCCCGGAAAATATCCCACCGAACTGCAAAATCACATTCGGTCCAGTATTACTCCGTGGTTCTGGTAATGATTAACTGAGGATTGTCGATACGCTTGATTTGCAGAAATAATATAGTGTTGGGAGGCTCAATGTTAAAAGGACTGAGCAAGTGCCTGGCGATGTCCTGTGCTGATTTTGTTTCTATTTTCAGATGTGGGTCTGGTCTTTGATGGTGGGACCACCAACTAAACTTTGGGAGCGCGTCGCAATAGGCGGATTGATCGTGAAGTTGATGCAATGAACATGGCGGGATGAGATGTGAAAGCCTTGAGGTGTTTCTTACATGTTCTCTATTAGGAAGTTCTTCCATCTTGGAATTCCATATTCGAACTCAATGAAATGTGAATGAGACCGTGACAACTGCCAAAAGTTGACGACTAAAATTACTCCTCCCACTTTCCATCCATCTTCACCTTCTATCAATGTAAATTAACTTACAAGAAACAATCTTCATCTGGCCAACATCATCACATCTATCTCACCCCGCACTAGGCACAACATCCATCTGAACTCTCCTCCGATTCTGATTGGTCAATGCCATTCTTCTCCCGGCGTCAAAGGTCTTTAGAGTTCCCATGCATAAGCTATGGATGAAAAGAATGCATCTCCCCACAAAAATTCATGTATTTTCCACGAGATTTCCTTATCAACACCATCATATGCGCACAAAATATGGAGTGCATGGATGCCATGTGGTCTGTAGGAATAAGATGATGGAGTAATCCCTTCCTACACTTTAATATGTGATGGGGAAGGAACTTGAGGAAGAAGAATCAGGGAAGATTGATGTAAGAAGGTCGATGAGCCTCATTCCAGGTCTATATGTACCGGACATATCTCCCAGTTTTCACTCACATTTTTCACTCTTGGTACCGATAAGTTTACGGCCACTCTTTCTTTCTCGTCTTTCTTTAATCCGTCTCATTCGTTTTACTTTTTGTCACTTTACGTACTTGGCATTCTTGAATGACGTGCGTGTTTGTCGTTCTTTTTTACTGTTGGAACTTCATTGGATTGTGAGAGTGCATTCTGATACACATTCTTTACTTATATCACACACTCCACGTCTCGGAGAAACTATCATTAAAACTTATTCCGAATCATCGAATTCGATTACACTACACTACGTCATAAACATCACCCAAAATGTCTTCTTCAACTTCCTCCTACGATCTCACCTCAAACCCTCCTTTCACACCAAAAAACAGAACACCAGTTCGATGCTCCTCAACTTTATCTACAACCTCCTCACCATCACCCTCATCTCACAACTTCCAATTCACGCCTAAGCCACTCGTCTTGATGCGTTCTTTCTCTGCATCCTCCACATCCTCGACGCAATCCCGCACTTCTCAGCCCTCATCACCATTCCTCGAACCGCCTTCACGATATGAATCAAGACACCCGAGTGAACTCATCTATAGACGAATGCCGGATAGTCCTAAACCTCATTACTTCTATGAGAGACCCGGGTTTTTCATCCCGAAGAGATCAGCGCCTAAAGCGCCGGGTGAGCCAAGGTCAAAGGTGGTTTTTATTGGAGGAATAGATGGGGACGAAGTGGATGATGATGAATGAGTTGAAGATTTATGGGTTGAATCTTATCAAAATTTCATATGGGGTATCAAACAGTATTGGAAATTATACGATGAGGAGATGATGACGGGACAGGTTCATTCGATTCGAGGAAAGCTGAATACTGGAACAGCGATTTTCCTTTCTACAAAGTCCATCAAGACACATGAGTCTAGGGTTTCCGGATAGAGACCTGGATCTTTCATTCTTGTTCGGGTTAAATTGGTGGTGCATACTATGTCGGGGATGGGATAAAATATAGGCATTGGGGCGCTATCATTCGTTTGTACCCGGGTTTATCATTCTTTTACCACATATGTCTATCTAACATTCGTTGAATATGCATAAACATATTCCATTTTATACTAGTATCCAACACTCGTTTATTAGGGGTACATTTTAGAGATTTCTTTAAATAAATAAATCATTCATTCATTCATTTCTCAGATGTACGAGCTTCTTTTAGTCTCCTGTTAAAAGTGACCAAGAATCGTGACACAGAGGGGAATTTCATGAGCAAACATATGATTGATGAAATTAGTATTTTGGTATCTAATACTATGTCAATTATCATGGCCTCTTCTAACCCAGTGATATCTTTTTCACCGTCATTGTATCATATCCCTATACCATATCTAATACGTAATATACATTTCCCAACTTTCGCACCCTATCTCTCCCAACTAATACAACTATCCACGCTCTCCCTCACCACCCTAAAACCTGCCCGCGAATTCTTAATTTCCTCTTCACACCACACATTGTTTGTCTTATAACTAGACCTTGGGGGCGGTTCACTCAACGGACCTATAAAATCTCTCTTCAACCTATACATCTCATCATCTCTACCCTCTCCTTCTTAACCGTCACATCCCTCTGCACCAGTATAAAAATACCCTCTCTAATCTTATCATTCTCCAAATTTCTCGTCGAGCATCCCTGATTCTGTATTTATATATCCTCACTCCCCGCTTCCGCATCACTTCCCACAATACTTCTCCTGCGGGACTGATCTGCCGATCCGAGATCTTCGCTCATACGCGTGTACAATCCTGATATGCGACCAGTTTTAGAAGCGAGCCGAGAAGAGGGAAGGGTAATTTTTGCAGAGGTGGTGTTGTTAGAGCCGGATTTGATCGTGTCGGTGAAGCTGTATGAAGGGGGGATGGAACGTCTATCTGGGAAGCGAGAATATTTGTTGGATCAGGTAATTCTTGAGGCAAAAAAGACAGAATGATTGAAGTCTTTGAATCATCCATATTGACTTTTAAAGTAATTAGCTGCTGGCTGGATGGTATGAATACTAGACTACGAACAGAACTTGGACGTTTCTGATCGTCTACAGAAACGCTCGCTTGATGCTCTCCCAGCCCTACACTCAATCCTATTGATCGTTTAGTACATATATTAGCAAGATAAATGCTCCTCAACTTTAAATGAGAGAGAACACTACATACCATATAAATCATAGATAGGAGTACCCAGACTAAACAGTTACGCAACACCCATAAACCAATCTTCGTATTGTATTCTGGCAACGGTATAAAGTTTTGCAAAGATCCTCAACACAAAAGAGGCAAAGGATAAGACGAGAAGAATTTTTTTGAAGCCAGTACAAGTGACCTCTTGCCTTGTACCCCAAGGTCATCGAGATGCGGTGTACTCATTGTGCAAAATTTCGGTGTGTAGTCCGAAGAGTATAGAGCGAGTTTGACGCAGTGTAGTCAGTGAAGCGCACGAAACAAGGATACGCGCTAAATTGATTTTCAAAACCTGTCTCGTAGACAGAAACCAATGTAGTTTTACTAATGGGAGTAGAATATCAGTTAAAGATCATGATTCGATGGTTAATTCAACGTCGAAAGTCTTGTATACTGTAGAGCATCTATGTATCAGAATGTAGACCATTCTGTTCCATGATCTATCTACTCGTACAGTTCTGTGAAATAGCCTGCTGCATCACACAGGAGATATACATGGGAACAAACGGGAATGCATGTCCTACCTGATTCGATACAATGAAGGTTAATCCAGCCGAGATGGGCAGCTCTTAAGAGTGCGATACCCTAGAGCTTGAGTGTAAAGTAATAGGACTATTACTCCTTTGGTTCATTCCCCTTCATCTAGATCTCGGGAGCGAAGTTATTAGTGCATATCATAGGAATGTATTAAGCTCTTCACAAAACGCACTCTAGATCCGGTAGAAATTGGTCTTTGAATTCCCATTCCCACAATCTTCCGAGCAATTTGCGGAAATGGGCAATTCATGGATATGGGGAATACGTAGCGAGGTTCCCGAGACCATGTTTCTTCCATGTATGAGATAGGGCCCCTGAATGTTATACCAGGGGAATAATGATAAGTCCAAGAGAATAGAAAAGATCAGCACCCTTTTGGCATAGAACCACTTGTGACAGGTTTATCAGACTCCAGCGTGTGGCTTGAAGTCAAGTTATCGTAACCCCCTCGGTATTTCTGTGATTGCAGGGAAGGTTTTCCTGTTAACTGTAAGCAGCATGTTTTGCGATGTATTCTCCAGCTCAATATGTGCCCTCAGATGTAGCGGGTTGTTGGATCAAAATATCGACATGTGTCAATTTGATATGAAGTCTACCTGTGTATCCGAATTTTCGATGATATATTCCATACTAAATAATAGCGTCGCACTACCCCAATATACGGGGATTGAGTTTTCTTTTGTCAAAATAAGCTTCGTGGCTTGTCCATGTAAGCCTGAAGTTTAAACAGCTCATTGGGGCATTGAGCGCATTTATTAGGGTTTCAAGCTCCAAACTTCAACAAAATTACAGGGGCTATAGGCTCGGCAACGGTAATCTCCCGGCGCGGCGTCAGCTTCTCCAGATAAATATATGCTTCTCTCACCAGATGGCTAATGTGACATTTCTAATTTCAAAGTCACTTCCTTATTGACACTTATTTCCTTGCCGCGATATTTTCTTCCCCTGTATATCCAGCATGAAGCTCACCGGTAATATGCATCTCCAATCTAATCCCATCTTTATTCATCTCCATGATTTCAACTGAAACTCCATTCACATGGAACGACACATCCACACGATATAGTACACCGGAGAAGTATCTGGTTTTGGAAGACCTTACTTGGTGATTGAAGAGTGTAGATTTAGGTCCACTTCTCGATTCCATTCAAAATTCCTTCAAACCCTCATCGGTGATCTCAACTTCATCTAGTCAAGACAGATCTTCTATACTTGCTCGATATCCATTGACTTTATCATCTGTTGCAGATATGAATACTCCTCAACAAGCCAAAGAAAGCAACACAGTATCATCTGATGCGGAAATAAACTCAAAGAAGGAAGATGATGGAAGTCAACTCAGCCCTGCCATGAAGAAGAATCATGATGGAGTCGTGCTTACTCCTCATCCAAGTGATGATCCAAGAGACCCATTAGTATGTCTTTCTCACCAATAACTTCAACGTTTCGGTACCAAAAAGTCGAAAACATTGAATACTGATAACAATCATAGAACTGGCTTATGCAAAAGAATTGAAAATGCTCGCCGTCAGTAGTTTTGCAACGTTTGCTGGGTTTTGGCATGTCTTGCTGGTCAGCTTCAAGTTGAGCCACAGGCCGAACTCTACAACAAGACTACAACTCAGATCGCTTATCAAGTAAGATATTACACTTTTCCCTTGAAAAAGATACAAGCTACATAATGACCTAGAATTCCGCTGGTTCGGCAGGTATGACAGCATGAGGATTCTTTTTCTTCCCTTTATTGTATGTCATCGGACGTAGTTCTGCTATCTTTTGGTCACTGATCGGTGCCATATTAAGTATTGTATGGGCAGCACTGACAACATGCGAGAGTCAATACAATGTATTCATTGTCTCTCTATTCTTTGGTGTACTCTTCGGTGCCATTACTGGAGTATTAGGTCCACGAATCTTGGTTGATTCATTTTTCCTACACCAAAAAGAAAGAGCTTCACTGTTTTTCATTGGTGTTTTGATTTTGGGACAGTGGCAGGACCAACATCATCGGCTCTCATTTCTGCAAAGTCGGTATGGATGAATGCGTATCGATGGACGACAGGATTAGTTGGTTTGGCTGTCATTTTGGTATTTCTATTTCTACATGAAACCTCTTGGGATAGAACGCCTGGAGCCGTTAATCCTGATCCACCATCGTCTTTTATTGTAAACAGGATTGCAACATTTCTTCCTGGTACCAAAGTCACACCAAGGACATCTTTCTCGCAGACTGTAATTTCATAATACATGCATGTGGTATCTATCAACTCATTGACAATGCTAAGTCCGAAATAGCTCAAAATCGCAAGAATTCCATTTCTTATTGCCATCTCCCCAGTTTGTCTAGTCCTCAGTATCTTCACATTAACCAACTTTGGCTTCTACGTCGCCATGAATTCGCTTTCTCCAACATTTCTTTAAAAGCCAGTTACAGCAGGCGGATATGGTTTCACAACCTGGCAAAATGCTGAATGTCAGCAGTCCTTCCCTCCTAATCCCCATCTCAAAATAATTAACACATACACCAGTCTCCTTCACTCACTAGATCGGTATTTTCTTCGTCCTCTTCAACCGCCCATACCTCTCCGATCGACCTCCCCTCTCCATCGCCAAAAAAGACAACAACGGTTTCTGGGTCCCCGAATACCGTCTCCACGCTCTCTGATTCCCAGATATCCTCAATCCCATTCGACTCGGTCTCTTTGGCGCTGGTCTCCTCTATCATCTCCACTGGATTATTCTCGCTCTTGCTACTGTCCTCGTTACTTTCGACTCCTTGTGTATTACACCCATCACTGTAAACTGCATCAATGAATGTTTTATCGATAATCTGGCAGAAGCATCTATTGCTGTTAATTTTTACCGGGTGGGATTCGGTCTTAGTGTTGCGTTTTGTATCAAACCTTGGGTGGCGGATGTTAATGTAGGGTGGACGTATGGGATGATGGCGTTTAGAGGTAGAGACTCTGCTGTATATTTCGTTGTTGGTTTGGAAGGGACATAGGATTAAGGAGATGAGTTTCAGTGGGCTGGGGAGAAGCGAGGAGGGAGAAAATGTTGTTGAGGAGAAGAGGACGGGGGTTAAGATCATATTTATCTGATGAAGGAATCAATATAGAATGTGTATAGATCATAACCCGTAAAATCTCTAGAGTGAAGACTCATCGAAGTTCGATCGCTTGATCTGTTCTCGAATAATCCATACACATCATGTATTCAAGACCTTTCACTTCCAATCTCCATACAATTACCAGATAAGAAGATGGAATTGACGTCACATAACAACAGCTCCTCTCAAACAATACAAAACCTTCACTCCAAATTACCCGACATCCCTAGATCTAACCCGCAACCTTACCCGGGTAGTCTCAACATCACACTCATCTAGTAACCCTCTAAGCTTCTCACTTTCCTATATCTATTCATCCCGAAATACAAAGATTCGTAAAATCGCTTTTCAAACCATATGGCTAATTTACAGGTCACGGAATATCACAAAATATCACAAATCCCATCACAAAACCTTCCCATCTTTCCCCTTTTCCAAACTCTCGCTACAACCATTCTTCTCTCAAAAAATATAATCAATGTATCCATCCCTATCCCTATCCCTATCCGCATCCCCATCCTCATCCTCAACTCCCCAACCAAAAAAATAAAAATATAAATCCCCCTCCCTCGAGAACCAAATCCAGAACCCATAACAATACATTTCACCCCTTCTTCGTTTTCTTTCCTTCCTCGTTTTCTTCCCTTCCCTTCCTCCCCTCCCCTCCACCAAAGGCAACAAATAAGCTAAATTCACCATCAACCATCAACCATCAACTATCAACCACTCAACCCATCACTCAACCCATCACTCAACCCATCACTCAACCCATCACTCAACCCATCACTCAACCCATCACTCAACCCATCACTCAACCCATCACTCAACCCATCACTCAACCCATCACTCAACCCATCACTCAGAACAATTATATCATCCCACCAACTCAGCAAATACCCATACTATCACTAATCATTCTCTTCATAGAGAGAGATATAAGATCTCCTTCGGATTTCGAGCTGAGATTTTAACTCTGATGATTGATGTACAGAGTAATCTTATATTGAGGATTAGGATAAGGAAGGATAAGGAAGGATAAGGAAGGATAAGGAAGGATAAGGAAGGATAAGGAAGGATAAGGAAGGATAAGGAAGGATAAGGAAGGATAAGGAAGGATAAAGATAAGGATATTAATGAGCAAAAATGCGTTTCTTGTATGGAATGGAGGTATGGAATGGAGGGAAGATAGTTAGTTGTGAGGTGCGGTTTAGAATGGATGGATGTAGATAGGAATATGGGATAGGAATATGGGATAGGAATATGGGATAGGAATATGGGATGGGAAGAGGGGAGATTTGGTATGGGAGATGGGTTGGGTGGGCGAGTAAATTGAGTAAACTGAGGAAATGGAATATTGTAAGTAGGTATGGGTTGATTAGATGTAGATGATATTCTCACATGAGAAATTTAAGAGAGGAAGAACTGTGTATGCATGTTGTGGATTATCGTGTTGATTCCCGAGGTCATTATCCTATCCCATCCTATCCTATCCTATTTTATTTCATTTCATTTCGTCCTCATCTCAAGATACATAATAACATATCTTACTTATTTATCCAGACCAAGCTTATCGTGTTCTCATTCCTTCCAATCCAATCCCAACCTCTCATCCGATTCCATCCATCCAATTCATTCATTCATTCATTCCCCAAAAGTAAAACATTAAATCGGCCGTAACTCCCTCTCCAACCTATCCTTCCCATTCCATTCCCCCCATCCCATCAAAACACATCCACTTCCTTCCCTCCCCTAAACATACGTCCTCCTATGACTCCCACTTCTTCTACTCCTATGACTTCCACTTCTCCGATGTCCATGTCTGGTCACATGAGTCTCCCTCACATAAACCTTCTCATCTCTCCTCCCCGCCCTCTCATGCCCCTTGCCCACCATACAAGCCAGCAAACTCGTGATAAAAAAGAAGATGCAATTCATGATTCCAAAGGCAAAGCACGCTTTGAGCATCGCACACGTCTTATCAACCTTGACACTCACCCCATTAACATTCGCATTTCCAAACGCCCCAAAGTTGATGTAGTACCCGGGGGTCGTCGCCAGATGCGCACAATCCGAATTGGTGATGAAGCGCAGCTCGTAGACGCCGGCGATAAAGGCCCCCACGAAACAGAGATCGACGAAGGAGACGAAGAGCGCGTTGGAGCGCGTGCGGTGGTATGTGAACAGGGTGGCGATGGCCCACGCGCACGCGAGCACCGAGACGATGAAGAGCACCAGGATGTAGTTGGGCGTGAGCGCGTTGTTGGATGCGTAGATGTTGACGAAGAAGGCGAGCATGCCGAGGGTTGGGATCTATGGGGTGAAAAGTGTTAGGATTAGTGAAGTGTGGGGATTTGGGAATTCATCGTGAGGATTCGCATGCATACCAGAGTTATGATTTCGCAAAAGCGCCAAAAGGCGAAGAACATTCCGAAAAGCATTGTGAGGGGTTGGTTGTCCTTTTCAGATTTGGTTTGGGGAGTGAGAAAAGTATGTTATTATTGCTGCGACGGCGAAGAGCGAATCTTTGCGATTATTTTTATTTTTATGATTGCGATTATGATTGTGGTTGTGATATAGTTATGGTGAAATATAACTTGGAGCTGAAGTCGGCTTATCTGATGCGACAACGACGTTGATGATGATGATGCTGCTGCTAAAGCCGAGTCGCAAACGTACAAATCAAATTCGCTTCCACACAACGATGTGCTTGCTTCACTTCAGGAAGCAACGAGAAATAAAATCTCACTGAATCAAAGCAGTGAATATCTAGATACTTGATAAATAGAAAGAGAGAAGGAGAAGAAAAAAGTTCGTCGACAAGATGCGGAGCTAGGTCCTCTTATTGAATCTCAATCCCACCCACAGACACAGAGTGAATGAATTGAGGTTGGGATGGATTTGCCCTGCTTTTGGGTATGATGCAGCCTTGTTTCTCGACCTAGCTAGCTCGTCGTTTGGGAAGGGAACGGGGGTGTGGTTGGTGGATGTGGGATCTTGGATTCGGGATAGGATGTGGATGGTGGGTTTTGCTTGCTTGGTTGCTTGCTTTCTTGCCTCGAACTGGCTTGTCTGATTCCTTCGAGACGAAGAGTTACAAGGGTGGAAAACAAGAATGTGGAGAGCAGGATGGGATGGCTCATGGGTGGATGGATATGCGATGCGCTGGGTAAATGCTGACGACCAAAGTGACAAGGCTCGCTTTGGGAAAAGTTTCTTTGCTTTTCTTTTCTGTCTGGTGGGTGGATGGATGATGGTGTCGGGTGTAACGGTAAGGGTAACGGTGTGTGAAAGAGGTACGCAGGATTTGTGAGTTTTTCTATGACGTCGGTGAAGATCTGGTTGATTGAGATTCTTATCAATATCGTAGGTAGGTAGTAAAATCTTGCTTGTTTGCTTGAATTGCGTAGTGATTGAGATTATCTCGTCTCGTCTGGTCTCGTCTGGCCTCGTCTCCTTTTCCTACGATATACACTTTGATATATTCTACTCGTATGGTCTCTACAGACAGTCTACAATATCTAAAATTCACAGGTCAAAACATCAAATAAAGAGATGGCTGGATTAGAATGGGAATCTAATCCTAGATACTAGGTAGACAGTATTTTATATAATTAGATTACCTACGGAGCATACCTAGGTACCTACCTACATTTACAAGCTGCATCCCGTTTTATATCACACCTTTCCTACCAACTGACAGTCTTACCCCCCCAAAATTCTCTTTCGTTGCGATCCAAAAAATGGCGGGGTTGGGTTTAGTGTATCAAAATAAAAGAAGTGGCAGGTTATTGGCGCCCAAAGATCCTGGACTAGGTCATCACTCCTAGGTCAATGCAGGGTGACAACATCTGTTTTTAATATCCGATGAACTCGAAACAAAATCCAGATGTCAATGAAAAGAGAGAGAGAGAGAGAGAGAGAGAGAGAGAGAGAAAAGGAAAAAAGAGAAGAAAAAAAAGGCACCGAGATTATCATCTTGGAAGGAGGAGATCTTGGTAAATTGGGTACCCAGTTGGGATAATCTGGTACAGTATTACATTTGCATCTAGGATCAATTGGATGTAGAGTCCAAAGTTTCATTCTATTTTTTTGCCAGCTCAACAACATGATTCGATTATTCTCGACTTTTCCAGGTACCGATGTACCGACAGGTACTGTGGTGGGGAATATCATATGTACCTATTCGTTGTACCTGTTCGCCGAGTTGATGAAACTTATTACTTCATCGGCGGTGAATCGTCAAGAGCTTCCATAATCTTGCTGTTGACTCCATTTTTCGCCGAGTTTCTTCTCCTGATGTTTCAATTACCCGAAATGTACATTTGGAGGGCTTAGTACATGCTGCAAGTCAGGCCCGTACCGCTAGATCAATTCTTAGGTCCAGAACTAGTCAAATTGGTGACGACAGCTCCAGTATTTCGCACGAGTCATGTTTGAATTGAGAAAAAAAAGGGTATCAACATTTTGGTCCAGTCTTCTGCCAATTTCTGTTGGATTTTGGCCGTTTCAAAATCGCATCTAGAAAGCAATTGTTCAACTCCGCGAAGCGTCTTCCCCAACCGTGTATCCTCTTGCTACACCACTTCTTCCTTCTTCAACAACCGCAGCAACTTCTCTTTCTTTGCCTTCATCAATAGCCTCTTTATCGTAATCACTACCTAAACCTGTCCAAGTTCTCTTCTCTCTCAGGTATTCTGCACCAGGACTAACCTCTCCATTGACGGTCGCCATTTCCATCTTTGCTCTCTTGACCAGTTTATTTGATGCGTTAGCTTGTGGCCCGTTTTCCAACGCTTTTTTAGGCTCTGAAGAATGCGTCTGAGAAGAGTGCATAGGTCGAGAATGCGAGACATATCGGCCAGTTCGAAGATCAAATTCGGGAGGCATCGATTCTTCCTCGGAGTCGTCTGCATCCTCGGTTGGATTTGCTGTTTCGGAATCCTGATTATTTGATTCAGTCGGTTCCGCTGACGAAGTAGGAACAGCGGTAGCTTGCAAATTCAAAGCATTGAAGTCTGCAACCCAATCACCACCCCAGACTCGCTCATCATCACTCTGTAAAGCCAATGCCAATTCGAAGGGTGTAATAACTGGCTTGAATAATGCTTCCCCTTCTACCAAACTACTCTCCCAACATCCTACCACTACCCATCCATCTATCTCACTAAAATTCGCCAACTTCGCAGCATTGACCTTGCCCACCACAAACGTGTAGGACTTTTTTCCCTTTGATCTTATAAGTGATGCCAGGGAGTTCACCGTAGGTAAATAATTTGTTACACTAAGGGTATTTATCAGGATACCAAAGACTGAAGATGAAGACTGTGATGTCAGTAAGGCATATCTCCGCATGAGTGCTCTTGCTGTATTCGTTTTCGTCGTTTCGTTTCCGGTCGTAGAATCTGTAGAATAAATATGCATCTCCTTGACCCTACTCGACAACGTAAGTAGTAACGCAGATGGTGGCTCGCTAATGTGGAATAAACTATAATCCTTCATATCTACCCCTTCATCTAACTTTCGATTCGGTATTGTGGCACTGGGATTGTGTGTGATTTCCGGCGCAAGTATATTTTCAAAGCCTCTATCTCGTAATTGGGCGACTAGAGGTGAAATATGCGAGTGGTATGTAATATCAGCCATAATGACAATTTTGTCGGACTTCTCCTTGTATGTGTTCTCGAAGGCTTCTATGACCGATTCAAGGTTCAGTGGGCGAGATGTGAAGACGTAAATTACGGGTAATCGTGCGGTAGGAGATAGACAAGCGCGGCCATAATGAACGACGACTTGCGCATCGACGTGCTCGGCGGCAATTTCATCAACACAACAGGATCCATAAGATGTATCCGCCAATATGTATAATTTATGTCGAATACTCGATGTCGCGATGTTCGCAGATGGGTTGCTGAAGTCTGTTTCTAGGCTCGAGCCTTCATCCTTTGAGATTTCGCTCGAACTAGGTTCCGTAGGTGATTTTCGAAGTCTACTCTCTAATTCCTGGAAAACTCTCGCTGCATCTGATAACATTCCATCCGAAAACTGTAGAGCTATTTTCTTCCATCCTCCTTCTCGAATCTCTTTCACCGTCCGCGAAATCTCGTAAACATCGTATAACTCTTCGTCTGAAAGTTTAGGGAGGTCATCTTTTTTGATCAAAGGTATGGGATCTTCGAATATGTGTACTTCTGGAGTCGATAGAACTGGGGCGGTGGTTAGTTGTTCCATCATTTTATTTCGTATGTCAAAGAAAATTCACATGGCGGGGTTGAAATTATATTGCCGTTTTCGCCGCGGGGAAGGGCGGTGAGTGTGGCAATATATTCCAATGAATCCACTCCACTCTCTTTCTCATTCCATCTGTTCTTCGCTATCAACGCCGATAAATCTCAACTCTTTTCTACAATTTTCCATTTTCTATCTCCATTCTCTCGGTGGACCTAGATGTCGATTCATTTACAATGTCAAGTGCCATTGGTCTAAAACTCAAAGTTAATTTAACGCTCTAGAGCTTCTCTATTGACGGCAAAGCTAGTCTTGCAAGTGCTGGCAATAAAATATCAATACCCAACCATAAGCATTCTTGAAACATCGATACCGATCATGACGTCGAAATGAGCTTCGAGTCTATTGAGTGGTTTTGATACTGCTTTTGGCCTGCTGCTATGGCGATCAACCATTTCAGATGTACCACGCATCCTCAAAAGAGATTGTCTGCGAGCCAGTGCTGGCATCATCCAATTAGTCCACTGCATGGCAAGGCTGTCGATGAGTGTTACCCGGATGATTTTTAGTGAAGGCGCTTTTGAGCCTTATTGGTGATTCATGCGGGGGAATTTGGGTAATCCCACACTTGGGGGCAGTAAAAAGCCTTTCTCATGCAAGGTAATTCTGTTCAGCCTCCGTTCACACGCGAATGGTAGAGGATTTATGAAAAATGATTCGAATGTTTATACTATATCTTATCCCCATCCCCAATGAGCTAATTGATCACTCTTTCTGTCAACGAAACAATTCATCCTTCCAATTATTCGGTCATAATTCCTTAGTTTTGACATCTTTGCGCTCATGGATTATTCAAAAACACTCTCAACCGGAGATCTTACAGCATCATCAGTATCTGCCTATGTCATCGATGAATCCAAGACTCTTGAATCTCACTGCTTCATACCAGAACCCCCAAATCATCACCCACACCATGGTGGAAAAGTTATCAGCGATGCAGATTGGCCAACTCTAAAACCAATCATTCATCGTCTGTACATCATTGATAATTTGAAATTTCCCAAAGTTAAGGAGGCGCTCAAATCGGAGTTCGGATACAAGATCACGTAAGTTTGATTGGAAGTTGACTTGGTTCCCGTTGATTAAAATTGGGAACTACGATCTGACGAAAACAGGAAACGGCAATTTACTCGAAAAGTCGGAAGCTGGGGCTTTAAAAAGAATTTTAGGAAAGATGAAAGAGACGAGATTGTGAAGAGCGGAAGAATTCCTCAAAGGCTTATACACGACTCACGAATTAACCAAAAAAGGATTGAGCGCTTGCAGAAAAGATATGTCGCCCGTATGGGTCTTGGAGTCGAAAGCGAAGATAATGAGAGATCTCTCGTACAGGACCAGGACTTTTCTCCAAAAACGAACGCAATCAAAGAAGCTTCATTGGACCTTGAACCCTGCTATACCATGACCGGGGATCAAAACGCGGCACTTGAAGACCACGACATGACTGTAGAAGAGATCCCCAGATCAGAGTTTCGTCATGACATAGTCACACAAAACACCGAAGATGAATGGCCTTTCAGTCAATCTGCTGGAGATGATTCCGAAATTTCATGGTTGGCTGAATTGTTTGTGCAGCTTGAGATTGCAGAAATCATCACATCCACAAGTTTTGAGACCGAGAAGGAAAAGCAGTGGGATGTCGAAGAAGCGCGATTCATATCTGGGACGGATTTGAAAGCACTTTCCAACCCATACGATAAAACTTTAGTATGCGGTGGGTCTTTCCTGGCTCAAAGGAACAATCACTACCCACATCACCTTTCTACTAGGAGTACCTCGCTACAAACCCACAATTCAGGAATATATCAATGTCGCTGGAGTCCTCTGTTCGAGATTGACATCTTCCCACCATTTAGAAACTCCAACAATCGCATTCAGAACAATTTTCTTCATTCACTTGCATCTTTCAAAAGGATGTCAGTAGATTTAGAGTCGAAATTGTCGAAATTAGAAAGATTACTACCAGCGAATTCTCCAGCAATCATTTCGACCCTGGAGTACTTGATTTTTGTCTACAACCGACTTCTTTGGAAGAGAAAAGTTGCAATGACATGCAGAAAGCTCTTGTATGCAAGACAAAACGAACGATTCCCTAATACATACAAGATTGTAGAATCATGTCTTGGGATTGTCGATTCCTGCATTGCTTTGGGGGAATTGATGATTGGGAGGGATCTGCATCTCATTTTGCACCCAAAGATAGAAGAGGCTGTGGATTCTCAACATCCACTACACATTCATTCATCTTATTTGATGGCCAAGATCTTACATCGAATTAACCAGGATCGCGAAGCTGAAAATATAATCTGTCCTTTGATGCAGATAGTTCTAGCTACATTAGGGCACAACCACTTATTAACCATTAAAGTCATGAATCTATTGTCTTTGATCTTGAAAAGAAAGCATTATCTGATCGAGGCCAATAGGCTTTCTAGATACAGTCTTCAAGTGTCCATTCAATCAGGCTTGGGTGTAGCTTGGTTCGAAAGCGCAAGTACACTCATCTTTGTATTAGAAGCCCAGGACCTTTACAACGAGAGTATCAATCTGTCTCATCACATATCCAAGTTATCAGCCGAAGCCCTTGGTGAAAAGCTTGCATGCCATTTTCATCACATAATAATGGCCAGAGCCCTCTTGCAACAAAATAAAGATTCAAAGGCAGTTGATATGCTCAAGGGTATCCAAAATTCCCCTTACGCAAATGAATCGAATGAAATATTCATAGAGGTAGAGTTTAAAGGCGTCCTGGGTAACGCTCTTTGGAAACAGGGACGTGTTTGGGAAGCTATAGTTTGCTTCAAAGAATCTCTCAAATCGACTGTCAAAATGTACGGATGGGACCATTCAAGTATTTTTTTACATTGCAAGATAATTGTAAATTGCTTGGTACATCTTTCACAATATGATGAAGCTTTGAGGTTTTTTGAGAGGTTTCTGGAGAAATGTAGGGGGTTTGTCAAGCAGGGCTCACCCATTGCAGGATGGATCGAGGAGACCGAAGATAGAATGTACAGAATGCGAGGAGAGGTTGAAGATGACGATAATAGCATTTCTGAAGATGATTACGAGGAAGATGAAACATCTTTTGGCGACACTGAGATGAAAGATCATGATATTCATGAGGAAGAGGACGATGACAAGGCTCAATTTGAAGGTCGCGGGCCAAGATTGGATGATATATTCAATACGGAACGAGACATCTCTAAGGACATAACCTTTGAGGAGCTAGGTCTTGATGAGGCTTTCTCATTATAATTTGATAATGGAATAGGGGCTTGAATGGATTTCCTCCTCAACGCTAGGTTAAATTTATGCTATGAAATTGACAACAAGTCAGCATTTGCGGCACCAACAAGCTAGAATATATAGACAGAGCGCAGGATCTTTCCTGTCCCAGGTGAATCAATGTACACTGTTGAATCGCTCATTGACTTCCGTATAACTTCCCAGTCAAAACACCCAAAAATTTGCTATTTGTGTGGTTGGTTGACATCAAGTCGTGCTATGGAAATAATGAACACATTATGAATAACCAATATTGTCTCTGTATAAAAATAACTTTTGCGTTTGGCTTTGGAGGTAAGATTTCAGATAGTTCACGGTTTAAGTATGGCTAGATTTATCTTTTCCGCTTCCGGACTATTGACAGGTAGGTTATAGGGATACCTATATTGTTACAGAAAGATTCGACATTCTGTACCAATTCGAGATCTGAATGGAATAATTATAATTCCCTAATATTACTCAAGAATTGAGAATCTCTTGTCATTATTGATATTCCTGCAAAGCATCCGTATGGCGCTTTCCTGGGATTCCTACAAAATAATGCATCTCACGACAATCTTGCACATCACACCACGTTCAAGAACTTTATATTTATAGGTTGCATTCATATAAATACATTTCGTATCTATGCGTCATGATCCATGACCTTTCCTTCCTCCCCTCCCCTTCATAAAATTTCCATTCATCAAGCATTCCCAAGCAACATACCCTCCCAACCTTAGCCAAGATTAAAGAAATAGACGCCAAATCTTTCCATCTACAAGGTCCAAATTTCAAGGTTGCAGCAGATATCTCTCATATTTGTTTTTTTGCACCAGAAAAAAGATTGAAGTTTATGAATATAAACAGGAAAGTTCCCCAGGAAAAGAAAGAAAATCTGGGAAAACAGAAGAACAATAAAGAAGAAAGAAGAAAAATTCCACCATGACACCCCCAAAGCAACCAACCATTGAATTTTGGGTATCCATAGAATGATCTACCGAATCTGATCAGAACGCATTGAACCAGATCGGAATAGAAGAAGAAAAGAGTAAGAAACAAGAAGAAAAAAATGTAAGAAGAGAAATTGATGTTCCAGTATGGTACATTCCTCAAGCCTGCTCGTCGAAATCTCTAATGTGTTGAGCGTGCATCCCTTGCTGACCAGAGAGTTGCGCATTTCTTCCTTTCTGATGGCTCTTGTAGTTCTCGACAGGACTACTATTTCCACTACTACTCCAAATCGGGTCTTCTAACTTCTCAATTCCAGGCGCATAGCCGGTATTGCTTCGTTGCGGAAGACCGGTAGGATGAGAAGAAATGACGGGAGAGGCAACTGGGGTAGAAGAGGCGCTTTTATGGATTCTTAATCCCATGATTTCTCCCTCGCTGCCCGAGGGTGCGAAATAAGAAGGATTTTGGTGGGTGGGTGTTTTGGCACGGGATTGTTGATTTGACGAACCATTGCGGCTTGAACCTGGATAGTTGCGTGTAGATCCATAGGAAGAAGAGGGGGTTTGTGGAAGAGGTGATTTGGGAGGGAGAGATGGTGGGTAGTTGTTGGGTGTGGAATAGTATTTGTCGGATGATCTTGAGGAATATTGTGGATCGATGACTTGTTTTGGAGGAGCGGGGAAGAGTGAAACGGTCTTCGGTGTTGGTGATTGTCGGGATTTGGGAGATATATCTCGGGTGCGGATGCTCAGGTTTTCTGCTCGTTGAATGGTCTGATAACTTGCTTTGCTTTCGGCAACAGATACAGCGGTTGAGGTACGAGCGGTATCCATGTCATTGGCGGTTTCTGCTTCAGAAAATGTGGTTGTTCTGGCCATACTCTCGTAGCTAGAGACGGAAGATAAAGATCTGCCTGTAGCAGTCGGTTCGAGTCTCTCTGGTACAGAATCAAGTCCATTGTTTTCGAAATTTGATTGCTTTCGCCATGCTGAAGATACGGTCCAGCAATGACTTCGACTGTGCTCAGCTTGCTGTCTAAGTGATTGATCTTCAATCCATGCAGGTTGTTGCTCTATTCTACCGGACAAGAAGTATTCCACTCCGTCAGAATAATCCAATCCCGGCGTATCAACAACAAGTGTTGATAAAGTTTGCAAAATGAAATAAACAAGAACCCAGCGAGCTCTGCGAGCGCTTCTCGGATCATATTCGCCGATTCTGTCTGTTTTCTCCCATTGCATATACGCTTCTACCATTTCGTTACCCTCGTACTCGTCTCCAAGAAGGAAAATATTTGTTGCCTCGGTATATGCTAGAGCTGATTTTCTAGCTTCCAATTGTGTAATTCTGCCTAGGGTAGGTGGACACGATTGTGGCAGCTGAGCATAAGGATGTGGAATGGAAGGAATGTTGTGATGACTGTCGAATCGTTCGATCAGACCGACGAAATCACAGTCGTGGCTATTAGGACGAAATTCTGGAGAGCCAAGACGGACGATATTGGACCTGCGACTGTTCATTTTGGATGAACCATTCCAGACCACTTTTCGATCAACTAGATAATCATAAAGTGCATAGAAATCGGCGGCGAGAGTTCTGACGATAAGTCTTGTAAGCCACCCATCCACGCTCCTAGAATCCGGTGGCATAGGAGGCCATGTCCCGAACATATCTGAGTAATGGTCACGAAAGAATCCCTGAAGTCTGACGAAAGCTTCACGAGAGCTTACGCCATGATGACCCAAAGCTTCTGGCCAGTAAGACCCATAGTCAAACCTAGCCAACAAATCTTCACAGTAAGCTACCTGACTCAAAGTTTCGACGCTGGCCTTGTCAAGCATCAACTTTGTAGCTGGTGAAACGTTCTTCCAGCTGGGTAACGAGGCAACTTGGTTGTACATCCCTGCACAGTGTACAAATGCCTCGTGCCATCCTTGTTGCCAGTGTATTTTCTTGTGTTCACTCCAGATCAACGTACTGCAAGCCAACTCCGGATCATCGCGAAGATCGTGCCATCCCATTGCTTTGGTGTAATTGACGGGAATATGTGATAGATTCTGGTTTCTAGGCATGATTGCCAAGAAACGCTCGTACACATCGGTGATTGCTTGATGTAAGGTGTATCCAACAATTCCTTTGTTGGAACATACCGCAAAGACGTTTCTCCAGGAAAGCTTATATCTTAGTAAATCCTGCTTTGAAACATTTCCAGCAGATGGTAACACAAATCTATACGAGATTTGGGAGGAGTCGAAACTTTTGCTAGATTCGGATCCAGGAGGAGTCGGTTGTCGAGGTCGTGGGGGACCATTTCGGTAAGATTCAGGGATGCTCATATTGTCTATATCGTCTGTCAAACCGTCGCGAAGTAGTGAATCTACCAATGGTGATCCTATCGTTTCAATCAAATGAGATCCCAGTCTGAAAGCCGGTTGCAGCATCTCATTGTCTTCTGCTTCATTGGCGTAAAATACCAGAGCATCTCCTTTTGGGTCCCAAAGATCTGGGTCTCTGACATCAAGTTTATCCCATAATACAACTGGTTGTCCTTTTCGTCTCCACAACTTCATTTTTGGGGGCAATGGCGGAATGTCTCCCTTGAGAGCTCTTCCTCGTTTGTAGGATGGCTGACTCTCATGGCTGGGGGCTCGTCGTAGAGGGCTGATAGGTCGTTGATTCTGATAGTGCATTCCTTCTGCTGCCAACTCATGCTTTTCTTCTCCAGTTGGTGTTGTGGGCGGGGTTTCATTTGGTACTTCTTTGCCTTTCTTCTTTTTGAAGACGTTCGCGAAATTGTGACGAAAACTCTCGCTGCTCTTCTCCATCTTTGAACGGAAAGCTGATTTTTCGATTCCAGAGGTTTCAATGATCGGCATTTCAGGTCTTCTGATTCGAGCATATCCAGGATTATATTCGGGCTCGTATTGACCGCTGTTGAGTGATCTCGCTGAGGGCTCATCTGATCTCATAAAATCATGATGATCTGAGAAATTTATTGAAGCGCCATTATCCATTCCATGAAAATCCGAGATTGATGGATCGGACTTGAAGGAGGGGGTACGCTCTTTTCCTTTGAGTGTGTCATCTTTATTCAGGTAGTCGTATCCTGCTTTGTTGTTCTTGTCCACCTTTACCTTCCTAACATAGGCTGACCTTCCCGACATGATGACTGTTGGTCTGTAGAAAGAGCTGTATATTGTTCAACAGGTGGATAGTGAGAGTTGGGGTTGGAGTTTGAGAAGTATAAGAGTTTCGAGGGGAAAATTGAAGTAGTTGGTATGGGTATGTGAATCATCCAGAGGGTCTGAAAGCAGAGACTGCAAAAGGAATAAGCTCCGCAAAAAAAGAATTGAGTGTAGTGAATAAGAGGTAAATGGATTTTCAGATGAAGTCGAATTGCTATTCACAAAGAGAGGATAGAGCAATATTTTTTCGGTCTACAGAATTTGTAGATAGGAAGAACTTGCGCAAGACCACAAGACCGAAGTGAAAAGGAATTATTGAGTCAGAAGAGCAAGTTGATATTGTTTTTCGATTAATTATTGTTGCGTGGGTGTTGTGCTGTCTGGACATATGGTTGTTCCGAAAAAAGAGGTTATTCGGATGAAAACTAGACTTCACTGTCGCCATTCACTCCAGACAAGGGCGACCAAAACACACTCCCAAGGAACTTCCCAAGTGAAGACACTCAGCTACCATACCAAGATCTAAATATATATGTGTTGAAGAACGGCTGGTATGATTAGGGTTAGACGACCTTTCCACACTCTGAAGATGTTGTGATGCTCAAAGAACTAAAGGATAATGATACAGAACGAGAAGAAACGAAACAAGTGAAGTCAATGTTGAAACTTTTCCAACTGGAAGATGGTGGGGAAGGGAGGTAAGTTGTACTGGGGAATGACACAAGGATTAGGATGATGATTGCTCTTAGTCTATTGCTTTTTTCTTTCAAGGCTGACAATGTACTACCAGGAGAGGGCTTTCTTTTCCCCATGCAATGTGTGAGATTTGACATGAATGATATGCTCTTGCACATGAACTGGGGGTCAAGATACATCTGTTGCACTCGTAGTCGAGCTAGTAGCACGAAGAAGGAAACTTTATAACTGGATCCTCTGGTGGAGTTTCTCGATTTTGGCAGTCCCCCGCAACTTTGGTATGGCACCCCTCTCTGCTTTCCGTCCCCTTGGGTATCTTTTATCTGACGGAAGAGCCTGGATAGGTTAGGCTGGTTCGAAGCGGAAGACGGGATACCACGCATTCTGGGAAGCTAACGGTCGACTTAAGGGCTAGAATATGAGACCTTGTAACCTTTATTGGTTTATATGGGAATGTCTGGAATGGAAACTCAGAAGTTTTTTTGCTTTTCTTAAGACTAATAATACTCTGTAGATTATCTTTCAGATCAGCACCTAAAAAGACTATAGGGTTTTTAGGGCTTCTGGATTTTCGATAAACTCAGTCACTCGTTAATTACAAGAATCATTTGGATTTGAATCAAGCAAAGCTATTCTGAAGTCTTCGAGTATAACATTTGAAGCTTAGGTATAACATTTGGAGTTTAGGTATAACATTTGAAGCTTAACTATAATACATGAAGCTTAAGTAATTATTAATCTTGAGTGTAATTAGTTGAAAGGCGTGCTATATTGTTCAACAGAATTGACTTGATTATACACACCACTATGATGTTGTTACCGAAAATGGTTTAACGGAATTATCGAGATCGATAAGGGGCTTGGCGTTTAGCTGCTTTTTTCCAGACGCTTTCGTTTATATCCAATGAGTAATTCATGTACGAGGTATGTATCCAAGGATACAGTGAAGCACACACATACATACCGATATTGAAGGAACGATTCGTCAGTTGTGCGTGGGCTGAGGAGGTAAGGGGGCCAAGAAATAGGCATGTGAAGGAAGCCAGACAACTACTCCGTATAGGTAGGTACCTAGGTATGTATGCATAAAGTAAGCATAAGGCGAGAGGTGCCGGCCGATGGCACAGTTCAGTCTACTTAGGTATGGACTCCCGAGCTTTCCCTACGAGCATTTTTATACTAGACTTTTCCTTTACTATCACTTATTACAATTGCCTTTTTTCATTGTTTGTCTATAATCTCGAAATCTTGAAGTTGGCGAGCATCATTACTTTTCTTACTCAATGCAATTTCAAATCACTTCCCATGCCGCACCTCGTAACACTTATCCGTTATCTATGTCAATTTCAGTGGGTTTGTCTCGATTTATCCATGATGTTTGCATTTACTATCTCCACTATGGCAACAGGGTATGCACGCTACATCCGGCCCCACTGCCTGCCCTGGATTGTTTATGGGTTTAGAACCTTTTAGGGCTTCTATTGCATGAAACATTTGAAGGGAATCAGGAAGGCCTGGGGATAATGAATGGAAGGTATCTTCTATATGGTTCATCTTATCTCATGTGCTTACAGTATTCGCAAGGACAACTTCAATTGACACGACTAAATTGGACATGACTTCGTGCCTAGAGTCTATGGCTTTATGGCTTCATTAGCTGTCTTCTCTGGACCATTGTGCAGCGTGCCATTGAGGTAGCGAAGGAGTGGCAACAATACCTCCTGCATTTTAGCAACCCGGTCTCAAACGAATGATCGAGGAGAACACCTTCTCTACCTACATACCTATAGTACCTGAATCTCATGGCACGATCGATCTAATCCAATCAGGTAGGTCTCTTTATCGTCGATGATAAGAAGTTCATGCCGGAAGGTTTCCTCCCAACTGTTGTTAATAAGATGGGCTAACTGATTCAACTCATTGTATTTCGAATTTCATTTATTTAACATTTGTTACCGAAATTTCCGTATATTTGGCTGATATTGCAACAACTTTTGTCTTCGGACAAAACCCAGCGAAGTATTCACATCCGACGGTTGTCCGGATTCATTTAATGTTGCTTGTTATCTCGGTATCCAGACCCGGATCCAGGAGAACATCTTGGATGACAGGGTCAAGCCCGTCAATTGTCGAATATTTGAGGGCAAACACTCTCGGAGCCTCATTCCCCTTTCTATCATCGTCGTATGAGAGACTTGTTACATTCGTACGAGGTATGTACTGCACGTCAGCATTCGTATTCACCATGCATGGTCAACACAATGTACACTCGTTATCCGTTACACATTTTCAGGCATTCACTCATCTAACCTTCCATTTCTCAAGTCTCAGCTCATCCCATCATCAATTGTTCGCATTGGAAAATCAAGGAATTGAATCTCAATTCAACGTTATACAGCATGAGTTTCCCAATGCGTTCATCTGCCAGCTTACTATCAAGCCATTCAGCCAAAAAGAGTCGTTTTGCCCCGCCGCTATACGCGTAAGACCTCCAATTTCTTCTTAGCGGGCCCAGCTTACCATGTAAGTGCGTCAGTTGTGAGCAATATCACTTCCCTTTACGGCATGCCCTCCAGTCTTCCCGTGATAAGGCAATCCCCACAACTTACAACGTTTTACTTCTCTGAAAGCGGCAGGTAGTCCTTGAATGTTTCTCTGCCGGGAAGGAAATAAAACAACATTGCATATCTTGGCAACATTGGAGAGAAGTTGACACCTTTGTTCTGGGAGTAAGAAGTCACTCACATTTCAATGTTGATATTCCAAAGGCCCACAAGGCATTAATCACATCAGGGTCTCTTTGAAAATCAATGATAAACATGATCACCTTGTACGTAGATCGCCTCAGGCTTTTCTGGGGACGAGCCACTGTTCCACAGTGAGCCAATGTTCCACATTTTGGTGGGCGGACCGAATGAATTATTATTTCATGGGTGTGATCTAGATCAGAAATCCACATGTGGGTAGCATGCCTTGCCAGTTGCAAGATCTCGGTTGGAATTCTTCACAACACCGGTAGCACCCGAAGAATCAAATTCGTATCTTGATTTCCTGCCCCTGAGGAACACATTGCGGAGCAACCTCCTTAGTTTCAGTTTAATTTACATTGGATTATTGGAAATTCAGGGTATCCCCATCTTAGCACCGCAGTCCGGCGCAGGAGTAGTTGTATCTGCTGGTTCATGACATATGTTTCCATAAGTTAAAGACTTCAATTCTCGCGGGAGAGCACATTGATATGACATGTGTACTGCTGCACAGCACATGTATAGGAAATTCACATACATGGAGGCTTAGTCTGCCACATGCTGTGGCCTGTACTTTGCAGAAGGGCTGCAGGAACAGGAGATGGGTATCTGCATCGATTCATGTGCGATCACAAGATCAATGAAAATCTCCGAGCCTTGTAAATCATGGTTTGGTGTAGTCCCGCGAGGCATGGCTTTTCGTTTCACCAATTTTTTGACTCGTTCTTCAATCGAGGACCATCATGACAACAAGCTTTAGTACCTATCTGTACCACGCCTTTGATGACAGACTACTTCCGACAGTACCGTTTGGGATGGCTGTCATTGCAATCATATCGGATGAGTACATTCTGTGGCATCGTACCCATACGAATATTAGCAACCAAAACTGTAGTCAATTCCTTAAAAATGGCTGTAAATTTCTACCAAATGCGCGGCAATCTGGTCAGCTTACGTGTGGTCTTACATCTTTTCGTTGCCCTTTCCATCCTCCTAGACTGTCAACATACAAGTAAATTTTTCTCTTCAGACATAATTCTCTGGTCACAACTCTCGTCTCAGGAGTAGACAAGTATACACCGCGCTTAGTCTAATTCTATTTTACCATCTTATCAAAACAAAAATACGCAAACAAAGTCACAAAAAATCTCAGAATTGAGAATCGAGAAAGATGGCAAAAGCTTGCCTCCCATCACGAGGGGCGGGAGGGAAAACTCCAAAGGTAGGGGGTTTCAGAGAACCCGGTGTGATACTCTCAATCGCTACGCCATTACGCCGGTATCCTTCACTTCTCGATTTAGCGTGTTTGTCGAGGAGAAAGCTGTCGCGTTAGAGGTTACATAGGAGAGAATTTGTTGATTTAGTAACTGGCAAGGGTAACAATTTGTTTGGGAGCATAGGGTGGAACTTATTTTGAAGTGCAGGTTTCTATTTGGACGGTTTCGGCATTCAAGCCGATGAGTACTAATACAAGTCTCAGCACATTCACCGGCAAGATATAAGATACACTGTAGATAAGCCCATTTCAATTCCATTTGCGCTGTCTTTCAGACACCCCTCTAATATCTATCTTTGTTTCAATCGCTACTTGTAAACTAATTCTATAGGCTCTTTGTATAAACTGCGGTCTCCGGACTGATTGTTTCCTGTTTGACGACTGATTCATTCTTCTGGCAACTTTCGTTATCAATGCTTCGCGCATGTTTCGAGAGGTGTTGTGGTTGCTGTCCGGGGTTTGGTATCACCTGAATGGTAATTTTGACGTCTTCATAATGAAATTGAAATAGTTGTATTGATTTTGTGTTGCTTGATTGAAATACAAAAGCACGCGGTCCCCTTGTAAATAGAATTGGGGGATATTGAGAAGATGGCTATCGATGATAATAAAATATCGCTAGCTAGGTACCTATTTTGAATGTCATTCCGAGAGTTGATATTGTGTTATACCTCTGTGCCTTTCCAACTTTCTGCATTATCCTCTTTGATTTTGGCCGAAAGCTAACTGTCGGTTCAAAAGAAATTCCGCTCCATCATTCACAAATGATTCTTGACATAAAAACCAGCTACTCCGTCTGATCTCTAAACTAAAGTGACATCGTCGCATCTACTTTCTACCCATTCCTCACCATCCATCATTCCATTTATGTAGCAATTCCCTATCAATTCCCATTTCGATGCCTTATCTTGCTCGTTCTGCATAGCATCCGAGCTCTCATCTGGAGATGTCGTTTCTATATTCTTAATCTCAAGGATAGTTTTCATGACTTCCAACATCAAATCTTGTTCTGTTACTTGCTTTGGTGGCCCCTTTTCCACCTCGCGTTCTTTCCCTTTCCACTCTTTTTCCCTGAGCACAAATGGCATGCATCCGCCTCGAAACAGGAAAATGCGGTCTCCGATAGCTGCAGTCGCTGGTGCTAGTCCAACCTTTCCCTTATCTGTCACGATTATCTCTCTGTTCATGCAATTCATGGCGGAGAACGCTAGATCTCGTGTCGCCGATTTGTGCTCTTCCAGCAATCGTCCCGACATAAATTTTCGCTCTTCTTCACTCTCTGCTTCCATTAGGATCTGTATAACTTTTTCAAATCTGTTTATTCGATCTGAGCTCAGCTGAGTACGCCCTAAAATTGTTTCGTAAAAGATCTTTTCGAGCTCCTCTGCAGTAACAACGTCTCCAAGGATTTCGGTGATAAATTCCTTCCACTTGAGATAGGAAGGTATGTCTTCGCCATACCCATATATTAGCAGAGATTGAGAGATATGGCGGATGGTTTCGGCTTGATATCCCTCAAGCCGGATTTCAGTACCACTCATTTCAGGAGGTCCACTAAGTTGCGAGTCGCATGTTGCGGAGTATTGATTACGTATGTCGTATCTCCCGATCAATACATCGGATACGGTCCAATCAATTACCCAGGAAGGAAGTCCATAGGTGTTTGTTAGAGAATGGTCAATCTCTATGAGCAAATCCAGATCAGTTCCATCATATAGTAATCTCTGCATTGTCATGGTGTAGACTCTCGCGATATCCATGTTATAGTCAGCGAGCAGGCTTTGCCCTTCACTGGGACTCTCATGTGGAGTCGATTGAGTGCCATTGCCAGGTAGTCGAATTGAGTCAATGGGGTCCGAGTGACGCATCTTTCTCCTTAAGTCGTTTCCTTGTGAGCGACGATTGTTGACTGATTCAAGTAGGGGCGAAGAATCCTGCTCTCTCCTCAATTCGCTTCCTTCTAATACAAAATTTATACCATATGTAGAACAATACTTCGTATAAGCTTCTTTCGCACGCAGAAATGCCTTCAACACACGGAACGACATACTATAATCTTTCTCAGAAAGATCTTTCAGCGGAGTCTTTAAGAATTTGTCGGAGAATTCGTCCAGATCGTATGATTTCTCCATATATCTTGCCCATAGGTCTGCTGCGCGCAAGGGTACAGTAATCTCTCCTTGATCAAAATCCATGCTCAAAAGTGCAAATATATTGTCTCTCGGATCCGTAGCGCCTCGACCCCTGAATGCCAATAAGAGCTTGTGTAGTGGTTGAATTTTTTCGCTCCTCATATCACTTAACTGCTTCAATCCACCCCAGTTTATATTTAGATTTAGATTTCCATCGTCGAACGATACCCAGCTGCTTGAACCCATCACAAATTTTTCGAGCTCAACCATCTCGTCCCAGTCCCACTCCTCCTCTCCACAGAAAACCATGACTTCTTTCGGGAATGTAATTTCCTGAATAACCCACACTCTATTCCACCATGGAGCAGTCATGATGTCATTCACTGTTTCCCACGCAGAATCATCTATATCTAGAAGCCCAAGGCTCTCCCAAAAGCGATATTTATCTTTAGGTGGCAGGTTTTTAATGTCGGATGCGCTCTTTAACTCTCTGCCCTTCCGTATCAGATCAAACATAGTGGTTACTGGTTTGGCATTCCTAAACTCTCCAAGCCAGACCAAACATCTTTCAGTCTTCTGATAGATTTCACGCATGAGTCGAACCTGCGTATTCTTCTCGTCGTTGTCGTTCTGATTGATACATATCGCGTCGATCCATATTCTTCTGTTGGCATCCGTCTTCCTCAACTTTTGTATGGCGGCAAAGAGGTTGGTGGTGACATCAAATTTCTTTCCATTGACTGTGATTGGAAGCTTGACACTGGCATCACCCCAACAATATGATAATGCTTCATATGGCTCCGATTCTCCCAACGTTGCATTGACCAGAGTGGTATTAATAGATGAATGAGAATCAGGTGAAGGAAGGATTTGTAAGACGCGTATATTGGAGTTCCCATTCGAAGAGACGGTTGGGATGGGGCTGTACTCAAAGTCTGGCAATGAGTTATGTGACATATCAATCTTTTCCATGATTAGGCTAAAGATAACACGTTTGAAAATGTACAGAAGTTCTCGAAATTATATGTTCCAGAAGCTTGCAGTGGTTGTAATTGTCGTTTCAATATTTTAAATTGTATATTGATGGGAAACCCTGAAGAGAGGTCCTTTTCTCATGAGAGAAGGACAGAAGAAGTAAGACTGACTGAGCAGAATATCATGAAGTGGCCAAGGACAAAACTGGGGAAATATCTGATAATTATCCAATTCGTCAAAATATACTGCAATTCAAGAGCGTATATAAGTAGAACGTTTCAAGATTCGGGCTGTCCTCAGTGTCCACACTTGCAGATCCATGAGGCTCTACAAGCTTGGTATGCTGTATATGTACCATTTTCGAGAGTGGCAAACACATGATTTACATCCCTGGGTACCTAGACCAATATCTAGAAACCAATGCAAGTTCATAGATATATAAGGCTGACGATTGCGGAGCTTACCAGGGTTGGGATAAGTGTGAAAAAAAGTGACTGGACTCCTTCTGAGCCTCTTCAGATGACAACAACAAGCCACTAGATACCAAGTACGTTTCAAATTTGGTACGATGTTGGGCATTGTTGGCTCACTTCTAATACTCTGCAGTAAAGTTCAACTGATATGGCATTTCAACGATAGCGGAGGGGGGATGTAGAACTCCACTTTAGCGCAACATCCAACGTATCACAAAACTCATACCCCACGACGGCTCCACGTCATACATCTATTGCGAATTTGAGCTAGTTTGATGAGCCTTGATTGAGGAAAACATGAAGGCATATGACTTCCTAGACGCTCTTCAGAATCGTCTGCGTCGTGATATACCATGTCATAACGTGGTTGGCGGGAACACTTACTGCCCATTTCTACCATATCATCGTAAGCCTCTCTGCGTTCTGCCCTTCAATCTGCCTGGTCGTCTAATCTTGATAAGCGTCCAGAACAGGAAGAAATGCAGGGAGATGAACGAGGCTTGTTGGACAGGAAGCATTTCATGAACTCATGAAATTCTATTTTCAAGATTCTACCTTAAGTCACCTACCTACCCAGAACAGAATCTATCCACGCAATAGCAGGGCTCAGATGAACACCAGCGTAGAAGAACTTGAGGTTTTCTCTTACTCCAAACAATAAAATTTGGAGACGTTCAACCAAAATCCGAGGAATGTGCAAAGAATATCATGCCTGTATCAGCATACACCAAATCCTAAGCATCGAAATCGCACCTCGTGGAAACTTGAATGGTACCGCACTCCAAAAATGGTAGAAAGATTGCTTCCAAGACGGACGAAAGTTCAATATTGCAGAGTGTAGTATGATGTGGCTCTGCCGATGTCGCATATTCTTTTCGAAGTACAGGTAACGTTGGATTATAAATTAAATGTATTTTTGCTCACTAAAACTATCTACCAAGAAAGTGAGTAAAATGAAACTTTCCGCGGAATCTGTACCGGCCTAACAGGCAAACCCCTCCTTCTCGTTTTCCATACCTGAGACGTTACTCCTATCCCTTTGCCTAACAATCAACTCTCTGACCTCAGGAAGTCCCTCCCACCCTCTTCCATTTCCTCCAAATCTAACACTTTTCTCCATGACCTCTCTCCACCTTAGCCCAGGTGCCAACTTTCCAGTAATAGTATTCGGTCTTCTTACGTCCGCATTTGTCGGGACTGGTAATGCTCTTCCCAACAATGCTTCCATTGCTTGCATCGCAAAGCCTACTGCTTTTCTAGCATTTAAAGGAATACCGGTTTTGTCAAAGCTGTCAAAATGGGCTCCTGGGAATTCGGCTTGAAGGTCTGAGATGAGGGGAGTGTGGGACATGCCGCGACCATCAACAGTTATATCAGCTGCGTTAACAGCGTCACGACCGGGACCAAAAAGAAGAATTTGCTGGGCAATACTGGCGGAGGTGAAGCGTGTAATGGTAGATATTGTATCGGCGGGCGAACAACCTCGATAAGCGCACATGCCTATGATTTTGAAAGCCATGGCGTCACCATAAATTTCTCTAGCTGTGGTTTTCGGTGGTCGTGTACTGAGATATTCATCATTGGTAAGAAGTTGCTCGACAACTTCATGGCAGATTGTACCGTGTAGGAAAGAGGATTGGTCCTTTTGAGGGTCGAGGCCAAAGTGACGATAGGCTGCATCAATCATACAAGTGCCTGGCCCTGTATCCCAATCGTACATTGCGTCAATCCCGCCCTTTTTATCCGACGGGATGAAACATATAGTTGTGATGCCTCCAATCGTTATGCAAATCTGTAATCTGGTAGGATGGTGCAGCAAAAGCCCGACCAAGTACGCAAATAAAGGAGCACCTTGTCTGCCGACTGCTTGCTCTGCCGTTCGATAGTCGGAAACAGTTGTGACACCTGTTTTTGCAGATATCACAGCCCCTTCTCCTAGGCACATGTTCGATCGATGTTGTCCCCGTGGTGGGGCACCCGTTAAGGTAACGAGCTGTCCACCAGATCCAATTAGATCAATGTCATCCACTGAAATTCTATGCTTATGTGCGAATATATGAATAGCGTTCGCAAAAGTATGTCCCATTTCTGCGTCCATTTGCGACAACATACTTGGCGGAGCGGCGTCTTCTCGTAACATCGATAGGATCTCGGATCGAATCTTCGACGGCATGACGACTGAATCATACTAGGGAATATTAGCTTTTTTTTTGGTGGAACGAATGTTGCTATGTACCTGAATAAGATCCAAGTGCAGTGGTGCTTCTGGAGACTCTTGTGTATAACGACAGAGTGCAAAATCAATGTCATCCATAGCAGTGCCAGACGTGATACCAAGAACCAATAGATTCAATCCCACAGAATTTTGCACGCCATCATCTGAAGATGACGAGCTTGAGCTCTGGTAACCTCCATTTACTTTCGATTGTAAAGCCTCCAGATATCTATGCCCAACTTTTGTTCGAACTCGACCTTTTGGGGCCGGGATCAAACCATTCATAACCATGACCATGCCCACGACATCAGATCGAAATATTGGTTTGGGAACAGCCGCAGTCGGCTCTCAAATAGTATAGAGGGGATCAAGACCATATAAGTCTGCGAAGTAGTTGATCTGTGAAGAATGCACATCCAAAACAATCAAGGTGTTTTGAAGTACAAAAGTACCGGGAAAGGCATGGTTTCTGTAGTCGAGCGTTGCATTGATCTAGGAATAGAAATGTTGGTGAAACTTTTAAGGTTAGTGGACTCATCAATCAAATAGCAAATATGGTGCAAGCATGACGTGGGATAGATCTTCCTTGTGTCGTTAAAATTGGTGAGAGGGAGAAATGTTCCTCATATGGAAATGTTATGCGTGGGCGTGAGGCCAAGGCTATGAGATTATTCGCCTAAGGCAACCGGGTAGTGGAGAGTTGTCGCTGGTGAGCTCCAATGAGTACTCCCTGGTGGTGTTATTTAGGATGTGTTGTTCAACGGTATCAGACTCGTCAAGGTTACCACGATGCTCTGCTCTTCAAAAACAAAGATAGCTGCGCAATTTGCACTGAAGCTTGTTAAAGACGCAACAGTAGTTTGACAGAATGCTATCGCGTTTTGCTCTTAGATCTGCATAATGTGAGTGAATACACAAGGTAAAGATCGACGTCTGCAACGTATGGCGCCAATGGAGGTGGAAGTGTGTTAGATCTTCGAATGGGACATTATCTGGTTCTTCACTATTAATACACCCAGTAACGGTCGTGTTCCACTATATTGGGAATGAATACTTGACTCTTCTCGATGCTTTTCTTTCCTATATGGAGCGATTGGGTAGAGCAGTGGCTTTGAAGGCGCTGGGCATATTCTATTTTCGGTAGATAAAGCTATCCGGATTCAGATAAACAATCCCTTTTCCGAAGCTTATCTTCTAATAAGTGGGAGGAGTTCTGATGCAAGACAATATCATTGTCTTAAAACTCAGTTCGATGTAAGTCTTGTCATCGGCTGGTACATCGAGACATCGGTTTTGCTCGAGCATACAATGGGCACGAGGTCACTAGGAGAGAATTCAAAAATGTTCTTTGGGGATGATAAAGTTATCAAGCTCACCGGGAGGAAGTAAAAGCGGAGAAGCCAATTAGGCTTAGCTCAAATTATTCTGCCGCCCCGCATAGAAACATAGCATGGCATGCTCGCGGGTGACACGAAAAATGGTATATACAATATAATTAGAATATAAACTCCATTCAACTCATTCTTTTCAAAAATTAATAATAAAACAAATTAATTATAAAATAACTTTAGATTTCTATATATTATAAAATATTAATGAATAATAATATATTAGCTAATTATATTATATAAAAAAATCTAGATCAAAAGATATTATAGATTAAAAGTAATTTATCTTTTAAAAGTTATAAGATTATATATCTATTTTAAAAATTAAGATAAATTTTTAAATAATAATATTAAAACTTGAAAATATATTTAAATATCGAAATATTATTTTAAAAGTGTTAGTATTTTAATATTATTTGAAATAATTTATTAATATAATTATAAAGTTATTGAGTTTATTAATAATATTAGATTTTGATAGAGATTTTCTATCAAAATTCTTTTAAATTATCAATTTTCTAATATATATTAATCATTCAATTCAAAGTTATAATAAATAAATCTTATATATATTATAAATTACTTTTTAATCTTTCAAATATAGTTTTTTTTAAATATTTTAAATTCTAAATACAAATTATATTTAAATTCAAAATAAGTTTAATATTTAATAGATTATAATTTTTATTATAATAATCTCAAGATAATAAAAATTATATTATTAAAAAGCTTATATTCAAAATATTTTATGATATTTATTTTAAAATTTTATATTGATATATAATGGAGCTAGCTAGGGGCTAAATATATAGTCTAAAATCCCACCAAAATTTTGGTGGGGAAATATATTGTGTGTGCTACTTTTCGTGTCACCCGCGAGGCATGGTAGTAAAGGCTTCATTTCTCCAAAGTCTAATAATTGCTGAGTCTATTCATCAATTTATCATGGGACTTTTCAGCTCTTCGCAAGCTTCTCTGCCCCCTCCAAAGATTGGCATAGATGGTGCTCCCATAGCACCGGACCGAAGTCAAAGATCACAATGTTGGGAAGCAAGAGATGCATACTTCAAGTGCCTGGATAAAAATGAAATCATTGATAGCCTCGCGGAGAACACCAAAGCCGAAAAGTCTTGCGGAACAGAGGCGAGGATATTCGAACAAAATTGTGCAACTAGTTGGGTAAGTTTCCTTTTCGCCGCACAAAGATATTCGAACTGCTGTTACGGTATGGCTCATTACTGATTCTCGCCCCCCTTGTCAGGTTCAATACTTCAAAAAACGTAGAGTGATGGAATACCAGCGCGAACAAACATTGCAAAAGTTGAAGGCTGAAGGGGCGCAAGAGATGCCAGGAGTTATAGGGGCGGGAGCACCTGGTCAGAAACCATCATGACTCTTGATGGAACAAAATGTACAACAGTATATGGGAAGGAATAATTCGACGGTCTACGGCGTTTGCTAGGAAGTCTGCGTGAAGTGCCCTACGACCGAACAAAATTACAGTCATGAAAAGAGGGACATATTTCGAGGGCCCAGAAGATATTTCTTTAAGTCCAGGTTACAATCAAATGCTCACATTCACACACAGAATCTTCATCGTTGAATAACACGTACAGGAAATTGGATTTCGCTTCTGGCACTGGAAGATATTTACTCAAGATTCGAGAGAAAAAGTCGCTGTAATATACAAATCATAACTCGGACATTGAGTTCCAAAAAAATCGGGTCTCATATTGCCAATCACCAACTGAACTGACGTCGCGGATACATGCAACTTCGCTCCAGATAAACAAGTCCTCAAACTCAGGAAGTTCCAATCATCAAGGCCATATGCCAGCATCCTAACCCATCATTGAGCTCTTCCTCGCAATCTTTATGTGGATACGTCAAAATTCTCGTAACCTTCTTGTTCCCAAGTGGGTCATGAAAATCGGTCAACATATTTATGGTTGGTCTTCCATTGTCAGTACCCAAAAGAGTCAAAAATGCCTTCTCCTTCGCTGAATTATTGGCATCCATTGCCCAATCACCTGTGTCCGAATCAATATTCAGATTTTGGTTTTTATAGGCATCGGCAATCATTTTTCTGGATCCTGGGTTTGGCACATTTTTCTGTACAACTATCTTCAGGCCACCAACTTTAGTCCCGGCAATTGCTTGAAAGGATTGGTAGGTGATACTGGATGAGGCAAGTTTCTTTGGATCTGTAGGTCCACGGAAATCGTTCCTTGAGTCTACATCGTTGACTACTATGATCCCTTTATCTGCGTTATATCCACCCCAATTAACAATTGAACTTTGAGCATTCAGATTTTCTTCTGCACCAAACCAATCTTTTTGTTTTTCTATTAGCGATATAACAACATTTCTAAATTTGAATCTGAGATAAACATTTACAAGATTCAGAAATTTTGAGGGCCTTTAGCTTACGCATTTCAGTGAATGACGTATCACTCGGGATGTTTAGTTCTGGTTTTGCGAATGTTCCTTCGAGATCCTCGTACACCTTTCTTTCGTTTGTCACTGATACGCCTGGTTTGGCGCCTTCAATTTAAAAACCTGCAAGATTACATAGATCATAACCGTCAAAGACATTGGCAACTGACCCGTCACCTTTGGTTGGTGATAAATCAGTATTGATTCAAGACAAAGTTGATTTAAATCAAACTTTTGTGAACGGATCTAGGGAATGTGGTTAAATGAGGAGATGCACAACTCACCAGGTACTGGATCCGTTCCTGCAGGTTGTACTGTCTTGCTAACTGCCTTTTTGGTTATTGCATCTTTGAGGTTGTTCTGGACAGTATCGCCACGTGTTTTGTATTGAGTCGGCGTCAGAATCACATCAGGAGCATCATTCGACGTAGTTGTCGCTGGATCTACCGTTGTCGGAGTATCCGGCTTAGCGGGACTATTTGGTTCGGTTATAGGTTTGGGTTTGGGCTCTGGCTTCACAGTGATGGGCCGCCCACCGGGGATGCGTGGGAAAAGATCTCCCCGATGGGAATTGGTTCTGTCGTCTAGAAATTTGTTTTTATCAACGGGATGTTTGAGATCAAGTGATTAAGAGAAAACGAAATGGTGTGAGCAACTGATCCAGATTCAAGCTTTTGATTTCCTAGAATGCTATAGATGCTCGGGAATGTTTTGATCGTTTGCAAAGATCATTCATTCGCAATGAATTATCGAAGGAAGAAGTGCACCAAATGTATCCTTCAACTGGGCCGCAATGCGGATAATTGGACACTCTATACCACGGATTGAAGGAACGTACATATACAATCTGAAGTAGAACAAATCGATGCTAACTCATTGGCTCGAGGCAAGGCTCGAGCAGCCACATTGTGGAGTCCAAATGCTACAAAGAGAGCAAGGAATTTCTGAGGAGAGAGAAGCATTTTGAATATAGTGAATAGCCCAAGGAAGTTGTCTCAAAATCTTGAGTTATAATGGAATGAACGTAGGACAATGAGGTGGTATAAAGAGTAAAGAAAATGATTTAGTATGAACAGCAAGGAAAAAGATCTTATTTGATTGATATATATATAATATATATATATATATATATATTGCTGCTCAGATAAATAGAAATAGGATCTCTAACAGCAGTTCTCCCCCCTTTTTTGGAAGCCCCGAAGATATCTCCATCTCAACACAGTCTCCACAAAGGAATGGTTTAAATTGCCAGGAGGAGTGGCAATCGCCCCTTTAGACCCTGCAATTAACAGCTGTCGCCCCCAATCCGTGTATATATTAGGTTCCTTCTGAGATACCTGTGTGAGGCACAGCATTACACCTATCTGCTCTCGTCGGCTCTACTTTTGGGTTGGGCGACTATTTGAACGTTATCATAGGGAGCCTTGGAGACTTGTGTTTCGATTGGTAGTAAGATTTGATGCAAGTTACATGCCAATATTAGTGAGGTGGTCAAATGATTGTTTGTCGTTCAATTTGGTGAGCTCTCATAATAAGCACATGCAGTTGTTGACAGCCAAGCAGCTCTAGATCAGGTATATCAAGATCTGAGTGTAGAGATTTATATTAGGAAATTGTGCCTTAACAGTTAAATTACTTTTCTCTGGCATTACGAACCATCCAAGCATAATAGAATCAAAACATGACGTCTATAACATGAAGATTAAATTTTTTTTTTTTTTTTTCCAAAACAACGACGTTCTGGCGTCCTCCCTCATTCATCAAACTAGACAAGACATAGCCCATAATATGATCACGAGTTCCCAACTCCAAAATTTGCTCATGATTTCAGATACACCGGTAGAAGCTTGAGGAGCATCCGTCACTTCACCATATTTTGTCTCTATAACTTTCAAACAACTCAAGTGAGATTCCGCGCTTGTATTGACTGTGCCACTCGTATCATAGAACACAGTAAGAATTGGTGTGATGCCAAGCAATAATCGTGTTACAACTCCATAATCAATTGCGCCAGTATATCGGGTACTTTAAACAAGAGATAGATTGTAATCCTTACCCGTGGTTGCAGTACAATTTTGAGAGCTCTGAGAAAACTTCGCTGCACTTGAACCAATTAGTTCTGTGAAGGGTTTAGTTAACATTCTTTTCACCATTACGGATTCAATGCATTGTTTACGTGCCTCGAACGATGATAGTACCCCAATCATGAGATGCTACTGCATCACGAGAAGCCGGGGCTTGAGATTTCAATGCAGATTGTAGCTCAACGCAAACATTCAACTCAGTTTCAGTTTTTTTGGAGTCCTTCATCAATGACAAAATTTGGGATTGCGATTGGGATAACAGATCATTGACACACAAGCTGGAAAGAGCATCCTGGCAACTTCCCACAGTTGTGCTTCGATCGACTCCGGGAAACGACAAGTCTGCGGAAATTCCATCGAAAAAGAGAGCGCATCCACGCAATGATGAGGTCAAATTTACGACGCTTGAAGGAGTGCCGAGGAAATAGTTACGATCCCATAATGCGCGAGAACTGTTTGCTGGATCGATAATTTCTTGAATCCCAAGAGTCCAAGTGAATGGAGAAATATCGAGTGATGTGTTGAATGATATGATGCCAAGTTCGGAGAGAGTGGTATTGCCCACTGTGCAGTGGGCCTGACGATAGGTAGTAGGGCAGCTCACTGCATCGCAGCCGACGAGATCTTGAGCATTCACAATGGAGATAATGAACCCACTGATAGATATGTATGGAATTATTGATCTGGTCTTGTGATGCCGCATATTTTGTTGTAAAATAAATTTGTGATAAAGTTGGAATCTTGTTGGCATGTAAAGTTTATTGGAAAACGTCAGTAATTGTCTCTGAGGTATTTGTGGTTTGAAACAGAAAAAACCCCAACACACTTACATTTATGATAATTTTGAGACTGTTAAAGCAAAGCAATAAACACAGAGAATGGGATGGATGCAAATGAGTCTTGAAAAGACATGGAGAGGAAGACGCCCAACGCTAGAGGAAAAGCTCGACTCTGTTTGAGTCCTAACTATCCTTACCACCCAATTAAAGGAATGCCTGCTACAGACACAAAAAACAAATGTTCGGATTGAACGTTCGAATTGGATTCGACATAGTGAGGTCTAATTTCAGCTTCCTCGGCCCCCAAATTACAATGTTCAGATACGATGACTATGAATGAAGTACCATTGCAGTATCGACGCTGGTAAAACTTTTTTGAGGCCAACTTGAGGCGGCGCAGAAAGTCCTTTCGTGTAATCAAATACAAAACTAGCCACAGCTCTGCATTTCCAAGACCGCTACACCGTTACAGATCTCTATATGCGGCTACTTGGTTCCATTTCTTACCACACACTACGATCCCAGGTAGGGAATGGTAGTACAGATATTTCCTTATTTTTCCCTTCATACGGAAATATGCATAATGTAACCGCTGTTCCGAATGCAAATCGGATCGGAAAATATGAGCCTCGCTATCTTTTCCTAACCTTTCATGATTAGATGTTTCGAAATTTTCGGACAATTATCTCGTCTTCTTTTTTTGTCCTGAAGGCAATTTAGATTGAATCCTTCGAGGCTAATGAAGTGACTGGAATATCTTCCATTGTTTGGATACGCAGTAGTACGGATGAATATAGCTTGGGGGATCAGAGGTATAAAGTTATACTACTTGTACCCGATAATTCTCAGGAGCATCATCTGAACACTCATTATAGATATCCAACACATTCATTTTTCCATCAAAAGATCAACAAACTTCAGAAGAGGTAGCAACATTCTCTTAGTCCCATTTCACCTTCCTTTTTTGACCTAAATTAATTGCAATTCTATTTCCTTCTTCGAGAGATCTCTCAGAAACATATTCCTCCAACATGGCTCAAGTTATTGGACTCCTTTTGGGCGCCATTACCATGATTCCTATGCTCGAATCGTTCATCCCCGACAAAACCGCCCAAACAACCACCGTTCGTATCGGTGCTGGAACATCTACAGACAGTAAAGCTAGTACATCTGGCAACACCCCCGGGGTCCGATTATTTGACGTGGTAGGCCGATCTATCGCACAAAAACCTGGAAGCAGCAATAGAATCGTCGATGGGAGTTTCTCAGATATCAAGCTTGTGGCACCTGATAGTGTTGGTGGGCGTCAAGGACAATACTTATCGGTTGTGTCGGGTGGTAATGATGCGTTGTGTATTTCATACATTGCCGTCACTTGGCCAGATGGAGGTCAGCAGACATGGACGGGAGACATTGGAGTTCAATGTGGCGGAGATTGGTATGAATCGCAGACGATCATGGATCCATCGACCAACTACATGCCAAAGTGTATGTGGATTGACAGCGATGGCAGTAATGGTATCAAGACGAAAGGAATGGGTATACATATTACTGACTTTACGCCTTCCGACGATCGCGCAGCTCAATATCAGAAAGATCCGCCGAGTATGTGTGGCAGCCAACCGCGATTTTGGTTGTATGATAATATTGATATGAAGACGTGCATGCCATACTTCGACCCTCCACTTCAATACACAACTGGTCTTACAGACATGGACAGATCAAAGGTAGTCGGTGTTCAAGGCAGCAAAACATGCACGAACAAAAAAGTGCGTCGAGGTGGTACTCAGGCTGTTTCCGCAAGACGACTAGAACTTCCCAGTATCAATAACACTACAAGTGTCAACAACATCGGCAATAAATTAAGTTCATTTCTGGGGAAATTGATCACCAGCAACAGCACATCGCATAGTGCGATTCGACTCTGTGATTCCGAAACATCTCTGGGACCAGACTTTGTCGCGCATCACGAGAACACGTACTGCGATATGATGAACAAGCAGAGCTATCCTCTCTGCGGTCGCGACAACTCTACCATTTCGACGGACTGTTTTGATATTATGAGCAAGACGTTGGTGCCGTCTGAAGGCTTAAAAAGAAGAGATACTCCCTTACCCACAAAGAAGTATCATACCGTTACTCATTGGTAGAAACTTCGAATCGGGTCCTTGCGCTTTTAAGCTTTCATTTTCCATTTCCGTTGCTCTCTCCCTTCCGAGGTCCTTTCCGGTATTCATTTGTTCTTTGGGGTCCAGTCTGTTTTCTACTCGGTCTTATTCAATTGTGCAGGCAGCACACTATCCATTGTCTTACATACCTAGGTACCTAATCGTATCCAGAATCTCTGAACAAGGACTATGCTCTTCTAGGATGTAATAAACATTTTTCTTCATTTCGATCTCGATCTCTTGACTTTTGAAGTACTGTGAAACTTTTTATTGCAATGAAGCTTTCACAAGATAGAATGATCCTCCACTCCCCTTCAACTGGCATAAACTCGTAAACCTACCTAGGTACGTACTCTTACATAATTGCTAGCTAGATAGTGTAAACCAAGAAGAATTGATGACTACGATTGTTTAGTATCTGCCCTGTGTATACCAAAGCTGGTGGTATGGTTGTTTTGCATTTCTACGAGGATATCGGCCACTCGTAAAATCGTTTCTGACAGTCGAGCCAAGGGGAAATTGCTCTTCATCCAACGGATCAATCCTTTCACTGCTGACACTGAAAAGATACTCTAGAATATGTGGCCACCCGCATTTCATTGCATGAAGGATTGGAGAAGTGCTGTAGTTGATACGTTTAACATCTGTGAGGGTCTCGACAGGGCAGCCGGCTTCTACCAGGAGACGCAGAGATAGGAGATCTCCCTCTCCAATAGCATATGATAAAGCCGTTCTATTGATGTATTTATCGGAATGCACCGCATTCTTCAACAGTAGGCTCATGATATGATGCTGGTGCCGAGTTGATGCTATGTCAATCAGTGAAGCGTTGTATCTTCTGTCTTTTGCTAACGAAACACCGTGATTCAAAAGAACATGAACGACATCTTCATGGCCCTTGGAAACGGCATAACCTATCGCATCCAGATTGTTGTAACGTACACGCATGCCGAAGGCATAGCCATCTGGATTTGCGCCATTTTCAAGTAGCAGCTGAACAACTTTCGAGCGGCCCTTATAAGCGGCGCAGTGAATGGGCGACCAATTCGGCATAGTTTTCCAAGTAGCAGATACCCGAAAATTGACATCTACCCCACTTGAAATCATCAACTGTATCAATTCTTCTTTTCCCCAATATATACTTTGGATGAGCATCTCCTCTCGGATATTTGATGGTAGGTCCGAAGGTAGTGATTCTAAAAATAACTCGGCGAGAATAGAAACCACAGCGATGCTCCCACTTCTAGCTGCTGCGCGAAAAACTTCCTGGATTTCCTCTTCTGGAAATGGTAATACGGCATTGTAACGTGGCTTGGTGAGAACTTTTACAGCTTCGAGATGGCCATTCAATGCTGCTATTCGTAAAGGGCTCCCGAAAGTGCAAATGAAATTCTGCAGGCGGATTGCGAATCCCTTTGGCTCGTGATTTAGATATGGCCGAATTGAACTCAAATCTGCACCGCACTCAAGCAGAATTTCAATAATTTCGGTTCTTCCATAACGTGCGGCAAGATGTAAAGGTCGTCCAAAATATCTGTTGTCTGAATCGGCATCAGCGTTACAATTTTCAAGTAGCTCTCGTACAACGAAAGCATCTCCAGCAACAATAGCTACACTGAGAGTAGTTTGGATGTCTAGCCTTGCTTCGTCATCTTCACCGATGGCAGCGTTACGAAATTGTAATCTCCTTCGACCACATGCACCTGGATCTCGGTCATCGTACAAGCCCCACTTCAAGCGTTCTTCTATCGCATAGCAAACTTGGATCTCGAAAGCTATTTGTTTGTCTTTTGTCTGAATGTTGCTACTACGCATCTTCACAGATTGGATAGCACAATAGACAGGAGAAAGTATTATGTGGTGGGGATTGTATTTGATTTCTAGATGAATGAAGAGATGTGCGATGCCGGGCAATTTGCTGTCATGATATTGGAGACATTTTGCAAGAGCATCGTCGACTGGGCCTTTTGAGTCTGCCATATAGTCGAGGCATAAAGCCTTCGTGATTATTGTATTGAAGAGTCCTGACAGTAGATTAATATTATGGAAATATCATGGGTAAGACATGAACAAGACATACTGCAAAGAACTCGTAAATTCATGATCTTCCACACTCCAATAGTTACCAGTATCTGATCAAACATGACTGCTAAAATGTCGACGGGTAGGTCGACGAGATCTTTTGTGGGTACAGCCATGATGTACTGTTTTCGATGGTCGCAATTAATTCAAAGCTAACGGTGCTGATAGCGACGCTTGAGGATACTAGTATGGTCTACAACAATCCGCCAGATTGCACTTGATCTTTTGCACAATGGAAAGGATTGTTGTTGAAGTTCAAGATTCTGGACGTAGGTAGCACCACTACATAAGGGTTGGTGTGTTGTTGAAGTGTGGCTCAGCCGCATAACGGCCATCGGATCTATCCAGCCCGAAATCGAGGACATAAAAAAACAACTCGACATTCACTTCAAATGTATAGCAAAGTTTCATTGCTTCATACTTAACCAGACAAAGACAACTAGTCTTACTAGCCAGATAAATATGGTGTGACACAGCTTCGAACTTGAAGAGTTTGTAGTTTAATGGCAAGCTGAAGAATCGTCATCTTGACTTTCCCTATGCTCGCCCACCATGCTCTCGTCTGTTTGGTTAGACCACGTCTTGTTTTAGATCATTCGAATTTCTGAGGGTCAAAAAGATATGTGTACTTGGCTCCCCATATTGAGTGACTGCAGAAAATTGAAAACTGGATGTTCCTTGAAAGAAATTGCAACCTGGGGGTATTCTGGAGACAGGTTAAAAAGAGTGTACACTGTACATGCCTTGAGGTAAGTTCAGAACGAAAAGCCAACTATGAACAGAGCATTTGATCGCAATTGGAATCGATGTGACACTCCTGGGGCTCGTGATGAATTGTCTGGAAAGATCGAAGCAATAACTATAGCCGGCTGGTGCAGCAGTTATGATAGCCAGTCTTCACTCCTCGGTTCATGGAAGAAGATCTGTTACCTGGAAAGAAAACGCCGTTCTGCTGCCTCGGTAGTAATACACAGACAGCCCTCGAAGAATCGGCTATGAAAGTACTGAAATAGCGTAAAGCTTTCCATCTCCAGGTTTCGTAGCCGATTGGTGCAGATACAACTAGGAAACGCCTGGGTTTATAAGTTTCCTCTCTGAAGCTAACGCCATCCCCTAGTTGAAAGCAAATTGTTTGTCTTTCTTCTCAATTCCTACTGGTTGCTGTTTATGTTTTATCCATTCTCACCACGAGATGATGATGTTCAATCAAGCTTGATTGAGTCTTTTCCATGTCATCCCGTTCACTGCCTTTCTTCAAATTTCACCGGGTCAAGAACCCACACCTCAGGAACCTCACTGTATCATCAATGATGGGTGATGATGATAGTCTCTTGAATACTAGGTCAAGATAATTGACAGGGTGCTGAATTCTCATGAAGTTTCCAGCGTGCACGAAGAAAGAGTCTAGTCCTCACCTATGATTCTCGAACTACCAAAAGCAGACACTTCTCAGTTATCTACCTGCTCAATTCTTTACATCGCTATGCAAATGAGAGCGAATTGGGAAGGAGCGAAACGATATAGGCAGATACTGGAACCCATATTTATGATCCCTCAATTCCTTGATTGGTTTGTATACGGCCGAAAGGACTAACTTTGCCATTTAAGCTAGTTTTTAAGGGGTAATTTTGCAGAGTTTGTGTGCTTTTACGGGTGATTGAGATTACTCGTATTTCGATGTACTATTTCATAGTGATTCTCTAGCTCGAGAAGTGATTATTAACAATTTCATGCGTTCCAAGCAGTCCGACGTTGTGGGCGGTTGGAGAGGGAGGGTTGGAAAGAATGAAGAAGAGAGTGGATGAACGACCCAAGAAACCCCTTTCGAAATTGCTCAATGTAGTTATCATATTCCCTTAGCTCTCCCGTTTCTCATACGTTGTCTATTGATCAGAGCAGAATCAGCAGACATCTGTTGCAGATGTGCGAGAGATGGTTCCTAAACTCTTCCCCATCGCACCGATGTTTTCCCTTCGCACTTTCCCGAACTTACAAACCCACTTGCCTCCACAGAGATACACCGTACATTCATTATTTAAGCTTGATCATACCTATTAGATTCAAGCTACTGCTTTGACATCTCCACTGACATTTCCAAATAATCAAACTTAATTCAATAAGCATAAAAATATAGTTCGCTGGAATAGATGAGAGAGTGCCATTCATTTATCTATAGATCCCGAATAGATTGACCGTAGCCAATGGCGAACATCTCATTGGGACATTAATTTAATCAGGGGCTCTAAACCCCAATTGCCATTACCCATTGGGTTAGATGATCAAGTCCCGTTTGAATGATGCTGTGGAGTCGACTTAAGTAATTCTACCGTATTAACCCATAGTAAACTGGTATTTTTCACCATTGCCTACTGCCAATGTGGACGGTGGATATCACTAATTAAGGTTCATTTGAATTTTAACAGGGCAGTAAGGGAAATGGCCGAACACTAATAAGATTCTACACTTCGATCGAAATGTAATATCAAAACAATAAATCAATACAACTTCCTAAAATTCCTAGCGATCATTATTTGTCGAAGAACAACTCTTATATATAATTTAGAAGAATATAAAATATGAAATCAAAACACAGTTCGATTTTGAAAAAGATACATTTTACGATTTTAGGTCAATTTTGCTGCTTTAGTAGTAGTTTTCTACTGTCGGTCTCCAGAGTGGGTTCTCGGACAAGAGAACGAACCCCTTGAAGATTAGCTAGTACTTGGTCCTTACAGTCCCTGATAATACTTCGTACATCAGATTCGTATTTCGGACAGAGTCAAAACCCTTGGTTTGAACCTACTAGCCCTTCCCTACGAGCCTAATTCTTAAAATCTAATGAATCCGATGACAATTTCAATGCATATCATTCAGAGCCCATTTCTGATTTCAATTCTTCGGAGAAAGAAGACAACTTTCTCCAACAAAAGCTTTGATATTTTTAGCAGGGTTATTTATACTACGAAGGATTTAAGCGTGTTTCGAATGCCCAAACGTTGTGAATATACTCCGTAGGTCCCTGAATAGACTTATATCATCTGAGATACGGGGCTGAGCAGAAAAGCCCCTACGAGGCTACGAAGCAGACTTGCACCATGCGAGCCAATGGGCAACCTCGGCAGCTATTTCCTTCTGATTGCTATTTCAAAATTAAATGTGTCCCATCAGTGTCAATCTTATCCTCGTTCATGCATTTTTACGGATATTACCCAGAAATCAACCCACGATCTCCATGAAAGGCAAAAGGCACGAGTAGGATACCTCAGAATAAAGTTTGTCCAGAATGGCACTAAGCGAGTCGTTGGAGGCTGATGCTTACATGATGCTGGTAATACGACTCACGAGGTGACCTATGGGAAGGAGATGCAATTTCATCTCCAGGAAGTTCGCACTTGTACTCTACGAGTAATTAGTAAATCTTTTACGACTTAAGCCTTTGGTTACTGGTGACTGGTGCCACAATCTGTAGTGGTATTTCTTTCATTAGGCAGAAGTTTGATAGAATAATAGCGATGTTTTATCGGGTTGGTGATTACCGAGCCAATTTCCTACAGAGTAGGAGCGCAGGCCACTCCTTCAACCAAAAACGGAGCGCTTCGATGGGTTTTCAATGGAGCGCCCTAGCGAGTTTAGGGGTAAAAACCTCAGCAAATAATAGTGGGATGAAATAAAGTAAGTGCAAACACTGTGCCACGAAGGACTGTGCAGTGTGCAAGCTCCTCGGTGAAGTTTCTTAGGGGTTTCCTCAAATAGGTTCAGGTATGGAATTGCATTTGTTGTACAAGGAATCTCACTCAGATATGACAAGGCTGTGAATTTAGCTTTGATTATTCTCTTTTGTCTTTCTCTTTTACTTTCCTTCTTCTGATTCACCTTCTGAGGATATCATAACATTTTGCTATCCAAGATGGCGATACAACTATCCAAAGCAAGATATTCCCTTCAAAACCAAACTACTCGTATCATTAAAATATTCTCTATTATTGTCTTCTTCTACATCTGCACGTATTTTCTTCTACCCCGAATACAATCCACCCCTCTCACCATCACCGAAGAAGATATATCCTTTGAACAGCGCACCGCTCACATCAACAACAACTTCCTTCCCGCCTCCACCTCAGACCAAATATGTGCTTCTCACTCCCTTACATCCTATCCCGATCGTTCGCAAAAACGTAAGATATACGATCTCTTTATGGTCAATTCCGAGCTAGATTGGCTCGAAATCCGTCTCAATGAAATGAACACCGAGGTAGATTATTTTGTCATCCTCGAAGCGCCAACCACCTTTACCGGTCTTGCGAAAAACATGACCTTTCAAGAACATCGAGCCAAATTTTCTGCTTTCGAGGATAAAATCATCTATCACGTTTTGACCGATGCTCCTCCCCCAGTCTCCAACACCACATTACCCGGCTCCAAAGAATACGAAGCGAATGCATGGATCCAAGAGAAATTCCAACGGGACGCCATGTTCACCCAGGTATTTCCCAAGCTGGTGGGCGAACAGAAACCTAACGAAGGAGATGTGATACTCGTCTCCGATATTGACGAGGTAATTCGACCTGCTTCTCTTCAAGTCCTGCGCAATTGTGTTTTCCCCGTGATTCTTACACTGCGCTCTCAATTCTACTACTATTCCTTTCAATTTCGACACCGAGGAGAGCAGTGGGCACATCCTCAAGCGACATTCTATCGGGGCCTAGAAAATACTATCAAACCGCATAGTTTACGTAGTCGCCATGGGGGACACGTACAGGTGGACGAAAGAGATAGTAAAAGTATCGGAAATTTGTGGAATGCGGCCTGGCATTGTAGCAGTTGTTTTAGTACACTCAAGGAGATGAGAAGGAAGATGGAGAGTTTCAGTCATACAAATTTGAACAAGCAGGAGTTCAGAATGACGGATAGGATCGTGGATAGAGTGGGAAGAGGGAAGGATTTGTGGGATAGATTTGGTCAGGTATGTGGACAATGTTTCCTTTCTCCGAGATTTGGGATGGGAAAATGGGTTGCTAGGTGTAATTCTGCAACTATGGTTGAAGATTCAATCCATCTTCACGAATCCAAGAGGTCTCAAGTGAACCTCATCAAATTCACTCACCCTTTCAAGTTTCACGTTATTCATCTCCTACCACTAAAGGAGAACTACACTAACCTTCCATCATCAACAGTGGTACAAAAGAATAGACAACAACAACGACATCCCTAGCTATATCAAAGATCACCGATCCAAATTTGGATACATGGTTGATCGCGATGGCGAAGGGGCCGGATTTGTCGATTACGATGAAGTTATTGCGCAAGAAAAAAAGGAAATAGATTTGATTTGAGAACTTTATGGATAAAGTCTTTAATGTTATAATATGGTATATTTTATGAGGACATTTGCACTAGCATTTACGTCAGGAGTTTGGGTTTTGGATAGATGATTGGTTACATTTCTTGGAGTTTGGAACCAGAGCGCAAGATTCCCTATGTTTGAAGATTCGGTAAATGAGATGAAGAAGGAAAAGAAGAAGAGTGAAATTTCACATACTCTAGAAAGGGGCATATTTAGGATTTCTATCACGTCTCTCTAGGGGTCTTTGAGAGAGGGCAGCTGTGGATTTTAATAGAGAGGAGACACTCCAACTGAGAGTATTGTACTATATGCATAATGAGCATACTGCAAACATTCAAACGAAAAATTAGACTTCATCAATTGATCAGGCTAATGCATCCAACCTCCAGTTTTCAGTAATCTTAATGCGCATCCACTAGGACACAACGCAACAGCTTCAAGCGACGATTTTATTGTCTGATGAAGGGGGTATCGAATATTATTTCATGCTGTTTTCATGCCATTCCATCCAAAACAAACTCCCATCCCATTATCTATCCCTCCTTAAATAACCAGACTTTTCATTGGGAGACGGAGCTTCCATCACCACAATATATGTATTCAACACATCCACCTCTCATAAATCGTCAAACCATCCCATGAAATCCTCTACTCACAATTAAATCTACACACTATTATTCCCTATTATTCCGCGATTCCATCTCCGCAGCCATTGGTGGTCCAGGTACCATAGGCGGTTCGCGGAGAAGTGATTTTTTCTCCTGACCTAGAACTACTATTGTCGCATGTTCATTAGCATATATTCATTCATTCATTCATTCATTCATTCATTACCCCTCCCCCTCCTCTCTCCCAAGCCCCACAAGAACCAAACCAAACAAACAAAAACAACTCACATCTATCCCAAAGCACCCAGCTAGTAACAAACAATATAGGCAACGCTACAATCGTCATCGTAACTCTCCTCGCTACACTCTGATAATTTCCCGGCAGGGGTTTCTCACCCTTTCCTCTACCCATCGAGCGCGCGCCAGCGGGCGTGGTCAGTCGCGAGGTTATAGATTGATTTAGAGCTTTGAGAGGGAGCTCCGATTTCGTAGTTTTCGTCGGTGTTCGAGCGGGTTTAGATTGCGATTGGGCGGGTTTTGATTTAGGAGATTGAGATGGCGGAGGAGAAGAAGATTCACGAGTAGATGCCGAACGCATACTTTGAATACGCTGGACCTGTGCGAGAATCGGCGAAGCTCCCATCGTGTATGCGTTTGCGATCAGCGAAGATCGATTCCCTGAGCTCGGTAACCTTATACCCGACATATTCGGATCCAATGAATCTCTCAATTCGTCCAGTTTCGCGTCGCTTTCTCTATCGCTGCTGGCTGGTATGGCGACAATCGCAGTAGATGTCGCAGGTATGGCAATATTTTTTGGTTCCTCAGTCGTAGGAGGCGCAGACGCAATCGCGGCTACAAGGGCAGATGTGCCGATTTTCGATTTCGTCGATGGTGATGCTTTCCTCTTACTCACTCTTCGTATTGCCCATGTACTATTAATCCCAAATTTTAAGCCTTCAGATTTCTCGTCTTTCGAAGTCGAAATTTCAGATAGCGAAAGTGATGCTGATATATCAAGAATGAATTTCTTAGGCCTTGCTCTTACTTTGGTGATAGTTTCAGTGTTATCAGCCGCCATTATTGATTGATACGGGCGGGGCAGGGTTGTAAAGATTCACGTCGGCAAACGCAAATGCGTTTTTGGGATTTTCATTTTGAGTTTGTGTTATTTACTTTTTTATTCAAACTTTTTGTTATTCTTTCTTTTTTCCTTCTCTTTGTGTTCAATACGATGCTCAACGAAGGATTTGGATCATTATCTGAATATTCGGATGAATGTTTCGAGGTGTTTAATGCAGGGTGTATAGTGGATGATATTATTATATCTGCCATGAATCTCTATGAAACATATAATTCGAAGATCTCGGGGAAATAGCATCTCTAAGTTGAATTCTATTTCAGGCCAAGGGAATTGTCATGGTTCTGCTATGTTTCCTTGAAGCTATTCGCACCATTTATACTATTTCCAAACTCCAATATATGTGCAGGAGCATCACAATAAATCACACACATATTACTGAGATAAGCAGCGTAATTTCATTCATTCGTGTATCTATCTACCATCATTGGTACCTATCATTTCTATACAATCCAGTTTTCCTCCTCTCCCATCTTTGGCTCCTCTGAAACTCCTCTGCTTATAAATACAATTAAGTTAGGATATCAATACCGAACGCCTGATCCAATGCCATTTTGACATTACCCATCATTAACAGCTCATTGCTTCCTCCTTATTACCATCCACGTTTAACCCATACTCTTCTCATTCAAGTCATTACGTTCATGATTCATCGCTTCCTGAATCGCTGCTGCATGATTTGCTTCCGCCATGTCCCTCCTAACTGGACTGTTCGCCCTAGAGTTTGCTCTGGAGTTTACCCTGCTGTTTGGATTACTCTTCTCATGTGTACTATGTGGTCTGCTTCCCGTGTTTTGTCTTACTCTAAGATCTTGTTGACTGCGAGCGAAACTTCTTGCTCTTGCTCCGGTTGGCATTCTTGATAGATGAGTCCCATCTACCGCTGTTGATCCTTCACCGACATGAGTTCCTTTCTCATGAACGATTTCGTTGTGGGCAGCTTTGGCGTCAGATAGTTGTTGGGCGAAAGGTGAGCGTTTGCGGAGAACAGGTCCTTTCCAATAAATGACATAAACGGCGATCACGAGGACGAAGGAGATACATGCAAGAATGGTAGAGGCGTAAGCAAGCGAGCGAGATGGGTCAGATGACATGTCTAGGATTTTGTGTTAGCATTCTCTGGCAAGAGTCATTAGAAAAGGAATACATACTCTGGAAGAAAGGAGTAGCAGGAATTGTCAAAACACCGGCCAAGAAATCTCTCGACCATCCATTTCCACCTGTAGCAGAAGCTGAATATGGTCCATAGGCACAAATCATATAATCAATTGTCGCCATGTAAATACTATAGTTGGCAATACCGACAATCGCTGCGAAAATTGAGGAACCGATCCAATGAATTGGTGGGCCTGTAGAAGTCCAGGCAAAACCAATAAGACCAATTGGCAAGCATGGTGCCGTGTAGAGCAAGAACCAAAGTCTAGATTCGAATTGAGCGTGTTCATCATCTGGTTTATTGGCGCGTTGTTTGATATTGCGTTTGATGGCAGGAATGAATGCAAACCAAGCAATGAAGTATCCCACAAGAATGGGAAGGAAAGAGAGACCAAGTTCGACAGTCCCAAAACCCCATTGTTTGTACACAAGAGAAAAGGATTGGATGAACATGAAGATGAGTGCATCAGAGAATCCAGACAACAAACTCAAGGTCAAAACAATTGGCTCTGTCAAGAACATCTTGAAAGGTCTGACGAAAGTAACCAAAGTCTCTTTAATGGAGAATCGTTCCTTGAATGGCGTGATCTCGTTGGGACCGTAAATGTTTGGGTTTTCACCACTCTTTCGCATCTTCTTGGCGATTTGATCCATCATGATGGTCGATCTGGTCTCAGGTACAAGAGCCAAATGAAGGAGTTGTACAGCACCACCAAAGATAAGTTGAATCCAGATATTCCATCTCCAAGCCAAATTAGCTTCGACGAAACCACCAACAACGGGACCCAAAACACTTCCACCAACAGATGAGAATACTACAAATGCGACGGCGTATTGTTGATCATCTGATTCCCACATGTCGGCAATCATACCCAGAGTAACGGAACCACCTGCTGATGAAAGACCACCAAGCGCACGGCCAACCATGATAGTGGCAAAATTTGGAGCAATTCCAACTGGAATTTGCCAGATGTTGACCAAGAATAGAGAAGCTTGTAGAATAGGTTTGCGACCCAATTCTTCAGACCATGGAGCCCATAATTCACAACCGAATGCATACAGCACCAAGAAAATCATAGCACCAGCTCTTGCACCTTGTGCGCTGACGCCAAATTCGTCAACGATACCACCAATGGCGTTTGAGTATAAACTGGTATTGAAGTTCATGGAAACCTGAACCATGAAAATAACCGACAAAATCATCCATTTTTTCCAGGTAGGAAAAGAGTATCCCAATTGACCCCAACAATCTTCTTCGCTAATTTCGATCTTGTCGGACTCTCTGACATTTGTTACTGCATTTTCATTGTCGCCAGATGGGAAACGTGCTACACGATTTGCGCGGGGTGGTTGAGTACCAGGATTTTCAAGGTGAGATCCTGCACCGGTTGATGCGCCATGTTTGGATGATTGTGAAGATAAATCAGACTCCTGGAATATGGCCTTTCCTTCACTGGAGGTGGGTGTATTAATACCACCCGCCATTTAGTTTTGTATTATTTGATACTATTCGATTGATCGTTAGTCTCCTGGTGTGATTTTTCTCTTGTGATATTGAAGACTGGAAATGTAAGATTGCGTGAGAGGTGCGAAAGGATATTGGAAAGAAACTTCTTGAAGGAATTCTGGTTCTTGTATGAGGAATATATATGCTCAGGCGAAATACATACTTTCTTGATAAAAAAGATTATCGATCGATAAGATGAATACTAAAAACAGGGCTAGAACTAGTAGTCAAAGCAGTGAATCTAAGAGCTTCTAGGACTCTTCGTTTCCCCCGCACTCTAGACCTTGTATCAAAAACCCTAATGAGAATTACTCGTATAGAGATGTCCGAGAAGAAAAGCAAAACTTAGTTGACCTTTCTCAATAATAGTTCAAGAGGATATCAAATTATCATATTAAGAAGAATGGAAGAACTTGAAGCTCGATAGAGGAGATGCAGAAGATGAAGTAGTAATGAATTTGTTCAATGTATCTCATATCAATTCATGGTTTCCCGCTTGGTACGTCATTTTTGGATTTTATATGCAGGGCCCCTTCAATGTGACTTCCCAACTTTTTTTGTTGGAGTCCCCCCGGGGGTAGGATCGACCCCATCATCTTGTTTTGGGAGTGACAACCAATCAAGTTGTGGAACTTCTCCTGCCAAAATTTGATGGGGCTAAAAGTTTTATACGAATATACTTTATCATACGAGTACATCGTAGTTTGAGTTTTAGTCAATAGTTCGTGTCAGACATACCTAGAGTTAGAACTAGAAGCAACCAAGATTGATAGAGAGTGTGAATAGAGTGACTGCTCTACTTACTCGCACGAATAACAGAGCGAGCAGAGCGAGCAAAGCGAGGTTGTCGTAGAATATCATCAGTAGAAAAAAAAGGACGTTAAATTCAACGTGTGAAAGCAATTTGATTTACCTCAAGGACCTACAACACTGAAACATACTTAGATTTAGGATCATCATCCCAGAATGATCTTACGAGTCAGACGAATTTCTGATGGACTCAGTCGTCTGATTTGAGAATGCGGAAATGGCGGCATGATTACTCAACATAGGATTTGTGTTTTGAGTGAGACGTTGATTGATCGCAAGAATCGCTCCGGATCGCTAAGCACCTCCCCAATGAGTCCCCATGCAATCCTCCAAGCATTGCACTTCTTTTATAAGTTTCCCCATCAACACCGACGTTGATCTGCACCTGCATCTTTGAATGTCGCCCCAGTTTTCACCGTGCGGGAAAAGTATATTTTCTGGTATGTCTCTGGGACGATATGGATTCGTGATATTGTCGTCTGTCGAATCTCCAGATGTTACAAGAAATTGATATTAAAATCTAGATTAGATGTGACTTCAGTAAATCTATCAAAACTTCTTTGATATTAGATGAGCCTCATGTTCGGCATTCATTCAATCAAGCATCTCCAGCTTTGCCAATAAATGAAGAAGCTTTCCTGAGAGTGTATATACCAATGCTTATGGGACTGGGTTGCCACTATCACGGTGGCTCAGATAAGCGCAACACTTGGCAACTGAGGCCGATTTGCCAAAGAGCAGTCTAGCACTCGGATTGACTTTGAGATTTCGGCACAACGCAACCAGTCTCTTTCAATGATACGGAAAGCTATTTTATGTCTCAAAAAAAAAGATACATGCCAATTAATTAACTACTCGCCGTCGTTACAATGTACCATGCTCACGATTATGCATCACAAGACAAAGAGGATTCGGGCGCCTATCTGGAGACCGGGGTTAAGCCCGTCGTCTATTGTAATTTTCATCATCGTGCAGAAACAGGTTCAAGACGTTGAAATTGCCCGTTGTGTCCCGGCATCAGCAAAAGTAATATAGTGGAGAGGCGGAGGCGGGGGAAATCTGGAGGTGCCAGGTGGTAGATTGATCCAGGTTATTCCGATCATCATGAACTACTTCCATAAATTGGCCGAGTACTGACCGTGGCGGTAATAGAATAGCATCGGTTGATGGGAGAGATAATCAGAGATGCTTCAGTAACCCGAGCCGACTAACAATTAGATGGTTGTTAGTTGATCATGTGCTCAAATACTAATTGAAGGTTAAAAGCAATTCTACACACAGTACTCAGAAGACTAGTATAGTGAGTATGAACCTACCCAAGTAGTGAAATTCATACAGCTTTACTCATACCATCGATGGTCAATAATGAACGACCACCTCTACTAACCCTAGGTAGACAAAAAATCCGCTGCCAGCACATCAAATATTTTAGGAACCTTAACTTCTGTTCTGCGCTGTTTCCATCTAGACATACAACCTATTTTCGTACTATCATATCAAAGGTCGGTTGGTGCGTTCGGCATCCGAGTAGACAGAATGCTTACAGGACTTAACACCGATTCGGCTTGACATTGATTCGATTCGAATTGAAAGTCTACCCACCTTCCCACCTAAAGTTCCTAGTCATACATATACGGTATGTAAGCAGGCGGCAGTAGGCATGTAGTCTGCACGAATTTGATCACTAATCGAGCTTGGCGTTTAGTATGTAAATCGTGATCAATTTATTCCAAGGCAAAAACCAAAAACTCCCTCTCGTCGAAAGGACTTATCCCTCCGAACGGATAAATGTCGGTCGGAAAAAGCATCCTCGGTTGCTGACTACCGAGTCATTTCGTGCCTTGATTTTGCTCAACATCAGAGCTCATACATAGGCTAGCCTCACACCAAGAATTCGTACTTGGGTAGATCTGGTTCCTGGATTCATGATACGGTCGTTTATGTTCCAGATCCTCCAGGAGTAAGATCGCGTTGGATAAATAACGTGATTGGGTTTCGAAGAATAAAATAATCGGTAGGTTAGTTAACCTCACCTGGTGGATGAACATGTATCAATGTATCATTGATATTTTTTAATTCCTTGGGATATTCTTATACCCAAGTCACCATCATACAGATTCTACAACGACCAATCAGCTAGCCACCAAGTTCTTGAAGAATGATGATGTAAATTCGCAAATCAAGGTATTAAGGTTGATGTAATGCACAACATACCACACCGGTAGCCATTCCCGCTCCGCCACCACTACCGTAATGTTCCAGGCTTTAGAGATCTTCACAACGTTGAATCATTTGAGCCTCCTTTCCTTGGTAATATTGCACCAAAGGCTTTTTGTTGCTTGTCTGTAGAGTTGTTTCCTTGATTTTGGAGGTTCATATCATAGAGATTTGGAAAAAGAATGGTTTTGTTGCTGCTCTAAGGTAGAATTTCCTTGCTTTTTTGACGTGAAGATGTTGTATTTCGAAGGAAGCAACGGTTTGTTGCTCGTCTATAGTTCGTAGTTCATTCCCTGCTTTTCGAGGTGAATGTCTCAAGAATTCGAAGGAGGGCAGATTTTGTTGCTCGTCTGTAGACATATTTCCTTGATTTTTGATGTGAAGAAGTCATACTTGAAAGGTAGATAGTTTTGTTGCTCATCTGAAACGTTCTTGATTTTGTATGTCCAGAAGTTATGTTTCTGTGTTTTGTTGCTCGTCTATAATTGTATTTATTTCCTTGCTTTAGACAGGAGAGAAAAGAAAATAGGTACATATCGTCCAGAAGGCACTTTTGTTGCATGTCTGTTGTGAAAATTCCTTGCTTTAAAAAAGCCATGGCTTGCTTTTGTGGCTGGCGACGATCTATTATCATCATCGACGGTTATCTATGATGGTGATGACGGCGGATGTGGAGGGCCGAGTACCTGGATACCAATTCTGCATGCAACAAAAACAGGTTTGCGGTCAATGAGATGAGCAACAAAACAGTTTGAATTTGACAATTTACATTGTTGAACTTTGACATAGTTCTAGAACTCCTCAAGATTTGAAAATAATTGGCTATGGCAGATATGTGTCGAGTCTAGACCTGCGGATCGGAAGGTCTGCTCCATACATTGAAGCTTCATAGCTTGAAGTTGTCTTCAACACAACGTCTATGTCTACATTTTGTTGCATATCTAATGCTGTATTCTTGATTTTTAATTTGATTTCACTTTCTGTTGCATATCTGATAATAGTTCCTTGGTTTTAATTCCTCCACTGATGATGATGGTGATGATGTTATACTGAACAGCATTTCTGAACAACAAAAAGCAGGTTTGAAAATGAGATAAGCAACAAAACGGATGAATTCAAAGATCGGCAGTGGACATGCTGTGTTGATATATTGATATTCTTCCAAGACTACTCCTTTGGTTTCTGAAAGTCGTGGCCTTGACTCGACATTTGTTTTGTTGCATATCTGGTTCTAGTTCCTTGATTTTTAAGCTGGCGATGATGATGGTGCTGATGGCGAAGATCATGATGACAACGACGATGATGATGATTATGATGATATCTAATATATTTGGAAAACAGGTTTGAAAATTAGATGAGCAACAAAACATTGAGAACTGGAGTTTGATAGGATATACTTGATGATCAGTAAAGGATTAGGAAGTCCTCGATATGGGGTTTGATATGAAGCTGATTTCGACATCTTCAATTTCATCAAGATGTTGTTCGTTGTCTCAGCATATTCCAATAAAAATATTTGGCAACGCTTCTTTACTTGTCAACAGAATTTATCTCCAGTTAAACACGCGAAATTACTGTATCGCCATTCGAGACACGGGTTACGGCGATAGATTTCCACTTTGTATGTATCTGCATCAATACAACAGATTTCCTGGGAGAACCCGATGATCCATGTATCACATCATGATACTTTAACAACCCTCGGTCCATGTCCCTCTTTCCGACCACAATTCAACCTTCGCCTTACTTATTCGAGCCCTTGCTCCTCCGCATATTTTTCAACCTCCTATCATTCATCAGCTACGACTCGGCTAATGTCTCTCGCGTATGTTCTCGAATTTAGCTGGGCAACCGTGTGCCATCTTTCCCCGAGCATGTTAATTTGGCCCGAGAAAGAAAGGGCATGATGATGGTTATGACGGTCAGTGTGAACAATCAGCATTGCGCTGACGAACAGCAAACCAATTTGTGAGCCTGTACATCGACATCCATCGAATGTTGGAATATAGGTATCCCTGAGAATTTCGAGTAGTGACAGGCTGATAGAACTTACTTCCGGCACCCATACCCATGTACGAATGAAAACATCGAAAGCAAGTCACCGCGCATAATATCTGATAATGCTTGCCGTGGTAAGCGTAGCCTAGACACCTTGAGCTAAGCTGTCAGACGAACAAGCCGTATTCTGGTGTATGGATATTAAAGAAAACCTTGCGCGTCCGCGTCTCTATTGAAGCGGGATTGGTAAAGCCGCGTGGGAGAGATGATGTGATATGTAGTGTGAGCTCGCCTAGGTTAATTGAAGAGCTGAATTCCGAGGATGACGCCAAGAGCCAGGTCTCCTGTTGCTGAAAATGCTCGATACCGTATTCTGACAAAGTCTGGTTGATTTCATCAACTCTAAGTCGTTCGTCTAATCACTTGGCTCGCAACTTGTGACAGTGATGAACGATTATAAAGGTCACCAAGAGTAGTCGACTCAGTATTGCTGGTGGGGCATTGATGCTGTAACATTCGTGTCGGTAGCATCTAAAGTAGGTAGGTAAAAGGAAAGGGGTAATACATAGCCAAGCAACAAGCCGAGCGTGTATGGCAGGATTCTCCAGATAATTGTCGCACAAGAATGATTTCAACGTAATCCAGTGCGAGAATTGTTTAACAACAAGCTCAACTTTGCCATTAGAACAATAATTTATTGTTCCTTCAATTGTTGTTGTGGCTGAGTTTGCAAAAAGACGAATATGCTAGCGTAACCTCAAATTGTCAAAAGAACTCTCCTAAACCTCTTGATTATACTGGCTCTCTAGTGAATCCGTATCATGTGAAACACATAT